CCATCTAGAATGTTGAGTACTGATTATGGACTATTACAGCTCTTTGAAATTTTATTAAAATAATAAGCTCATTGCCAGCTAAAGGTATGTAATTATATACTTGAAAATAACTATCATTTAGGCTCTGCAGTAAAAAGCACCATGTAGCCTCTATAAATTCCCACTTGTGCTGTTCAAAAATGACCCCCTTCTCAATTATTCTGATAAACTCATGCAGACTAGGAGTTAACTTTGGATTGTAGGGCTGTATCTAGTGGAGAAGCATTTATTCAATTGAAGGCACCATTATAGTCAGTATCTGCTAAATAATGTAGACATGCTGACCCTTCGAGCTTTGAGTTTTCCCTTTTAAAGAGAGGGATTGATTTATGCAGTTTGTAACTGGTGAGTGTAGCGTTTAGGAAGAAAGCATGAATTTGGCTAGTTTGTTCAAATCAATATCTCAAATCCAGCTTTTCTATTTATTTATTTATTTTGCTTTTTTGGTACCCAGACCCACACATACCCCTTGCCTGTCCTCACCTGCCACACCTCTTGTCCCTAGTTTTTCACCAGCCATACATTGATTCCTTTCTTCAATTATATGCTTCTTTCACTCACTGTTCCCTCAGGTCCGAATTTACCAGCTCTGTAGTTGCTCCACTAACATGGTTACACCCCACCCCCAAATACAATTAAATCACAGGGACTGTAGCTTACCTATCACAGAGCTACAATTCCCAGCATGTTTAACAAACTATAGTTTCCAGGATTCTTTCAAGGGAAGACACGTGCTTTAAATGTATGGTGTGTTTGCAGCCTAAGACTCTGGACTGGGTTTGCCCAACATGATGCCCAGGATCAATCAGAAGGGGGGGGGGCGAGGAGGGCCATTTAAGCTCAAATGCATGGGTGTAGCCAATGCAGCTGCCCCCCTAAATTAAATAAAACAATAGAAATTCTTAACTAACTGACCAATCACATCAGTTCCACTCCCCTAACAAAAGTCCTGCCCCCCCCAAAAATCCTGGCTATATACTTCTTTTTAAGCACATGGCATCAAACTGTGAAATACTCTAACAGCTTGGAGCTGCAGATTCAAGCGAGCAAGAGATGTGATTTGGTAAAAGACAGTATGTTTTTTGGTAACAGATGCATATTTTGCCATTCGCTCAATGTTAAAAGTGAATGGCATCAAGATTTTTCCTCAATAATTAGTGCATTTGTGCATATACGTAATGGCTAGAAAAGCATTTGTTAAATTAAGCATTTATTAAACCCCTGCTAAAAAAACCACTTGACATCTCTGCATATTTGCCTGATCTGGAGGCTGTGGACTTCGCTGACGTTCCTTAAAGGGGGGTCCAGGCATAAAAGAGGAAAGGATGAGGGGCAGCCTTCCTAAGTTTGTCTATTTTTCTTGTTGTGCCTGCACTCTCCTAGGATAGGGCCCACAAAGGGGAGCTACTCTTTTCTTATGTAGCTTTATTATGCTATTGGACAAAAGGGTCTTTTGTGGCTGTATATTAACATATTGGAATAAATAATATATTTGGATCTAATGGTGTGGATATTGGGGGACCTGCTTGGATCTAGTGTTTGACCCATCTACCTATGTGGGAGTACCCACGTGGTGCCACATTTCTTGGATACAGGGCAAATATTGGCCCACCTAGAAATCTCTAGTAAAAGATGACAGCCCACCCATGACACCGAAACATAGGAATTGTGGCAGCATTTATTTGTCTCTGTGTGTGCAAAGTTTAGCAGTGCTTTTTTTTCTAGAAACAAAGGTGTCAGGACTCACTGTCCAAAAATGGTCAGAGAAGGGACAGCCAAATGGACAAAAGGGAGAAGCACTCTGCACATGCTCATGGAAGGAGGCAGCAGGGCTCCTCCCCAAAGCAGGGCAGGCAGGAGGCAATGATGCTCTGGTTGGAGAGGGTTGGAGAGCCCTGCCCTCCCTCAGTGGGAGAGGAAGGGACTGTGGTACTGCGGAGGGAGGCAAGCAGAGCAGGGAAGCCTTGGGCAAAAATGAGGTTCGTATCCCCCTCAAAAAAAGCACTGAGGTTTAGTATTATTATTTCATTTTATAATGTATGTAAAACAGAGAGAACAATTATCAGCAGATAAAAATGAAAAGATAAAAACAAAACTATAAAATAGGCACAAAGAATGAGTATGTGCACATGAGTTAAAAAAGCAAAGTCCAATTAAATACTATAAATGCTATCAGATTGTCATAGATAGTTTCAGATTTGCCAGGCTTGTAATCGGGGTTGTCATAAAAATGATGGTTCCACTGTTTATGTCATTAAAAATTGCCAACTTAAATAAAAAGCGTCTGGAGGTTCTAGACCTTGTCAAAATCTCAAATTGTGTGTGATTTTCTCCATTATTACAGTACTTTTCCATATATAAGACTAGGGGTTTTTTTTACTTTAAAATAAGGTTAAAAATATTGGGGCGTCTTATAAATGGATAGTGCATATGGCCATTTTCTAAACTTAGAGTCCTCAAAAGTAGGGGGAGTCTTATACATGGGGGCATCTTATACACGGAAACATATGGCAATTCCAGACTGAGTGGTACCAAGTATACAGTGTAAGATTGTGAGCCATTTCCCATTGAGTTGCAATTACTATTCATGCGGCCAAGATCATACTGTATATAAAACCAAGTCTTTTGGTAATATATTTACATTAAATTATAAAAAATATTCAGCAACAGTAATTTTGGACTGCAGACAGAAGTTTCTTTAGTAATATTTATCATTTCTCTCCAAATTAAATTCCAAAAATCTTGCACCAACTGACATTCCCACCATAAATGATAGTAAGTACCAAGTTCATAGCAATCCTTCCCATGATTAGGAGATATAGAAGAAAACATTTTTGACATTTGCAAAGGAGCGTGATACCACCTGTGTAATACATTTCAGGGGTTTTCCCTAAGAAAACTGGAAAAAGATTTTAAGGGTTGTGATTCCCAAACCTGATTTCAATCCTTGGAAAGAATTTGTGTGCCAGCATCTAGTTCCCATACCTTTTTTTTAAGGGGTTCCATACATCCCTATGTTACGTTAAGCAATTTAGTGTACAATTTACAAACTAATCCTTTTCCTCCTCTAGCATTTGTACTTAATTAATTTTCAGAATGTGTTAAGGGTCTCAAGAGCTCATTTTTTTTACATATTATTTTATAATTAAACTATGACTTTTATTAAAATAAATGCAGTTTGTGTTAAGATTAGATAAAATTCACTCAATTAATCAATCTCCTTTATTGGCATAGAAAAAGTGCATCGTATACATGGATCAGAACACAACACAGTTAATGAAACATAGTAGGAAATGCTTTAGGATAAAACTGTCCAAAAAGGAAAAAAGGAAAATGATTGTTTAAATCATGCATTTTCTGTTTTTTTATTCTATTTTTATGCTGTGAACTGCCCTGAGATCTACAGATGAAGTGTGGTATACAAAATTAATGAAATATAAAAATGTAACTCATCATCTGCAGCCATTGCCCATGCTTGCTAGGATGGGAGGATTCCATTGTTGAATTAGCTAGGCAAGTTACACTTCTTTTCCTCCTTCTGGTTTATGTTTTTATTTAGATTCTTTTTTTTCCTTTGATGAAAAAATATTGGATATCTGATATTAACCTTTGTATATTTTCTTTCTAACCTTAATAAACTTTATTGGGAAAAGCATAACAAAGGACATTGCTCTGTAACACAGTGCAAATAGGTGGACCCCCTTCCTCACCTGGCTAGTAGTGAGAAAGACAAAAGCTAGATTGTGTTTGAGCTAGGCTGGAAGCAAGCAGAAGCTAGAGAATGTGAGCAATGCTTGATTGCTTCTGGAACCCAAAGCTGTGACTTTGGGAGAAGCAAGTCCTTCTGGAACCCAAAGCTGTGACTTTGGGAGAAGCAAGTCCTTCCAGCCCCTCCATCATAGGCTCAGGTTGTACATATGTGTAAGTAAACCATATATCTTAAAGACAACAGTCTCTGCTGTCCCTCATTCCAAGGAAATCAAACCCATGGTGAGTGCCTGGAACTGCAACAATATTTTAGCATTTCAAACATCTCCCATGCTGAATAGCAGTGACTTCAGCACCTGCACTGAATGAAGAGCTCAGGATTTATATGAAGGTAAGTTCCATTGAATTCAACAGGATTTACTCAGAGTAGATATGGCTTAAGTTTGCTGCTGTAGACACAGTACCACGAGAAAATATTTCAAATTTTGCCTAGGATGGCAGTCTTAATCTTATTAGCTGCTTTGGGAATAGCATTTGGTGAAGGTGTGGGATACAAATCTGAGAAATGTGATAGTGTGGTTACTTCTGAGTAGACATTGATAGAACTATCAGAGCTGGCCCATCTATGAGGCAAAGTGAGGCAACTGCCTCAGGAGGCAGGATCCACAGAGGCAACAGATCCCAGGGTGGATCTCTATTCCCCCTTGTTCCTGGTGTAGATCTAAACTCACCCCTTCTTCCTTGGAAGGGAGTCATTCTGTGGTTCACCTCAGGCATCAAAATTTCTTAGTCTGGACCTGGAGGCTGTGCTGTTAATTAGCCATTATGAAGTGTAGAGAAGTTACCACAACTTGTCAACAGCAGCTGTGTTCCAGATCTGCTACTCTTGAGAGCACCAGCACCTGTCTTTAAATCTGATTTATTTATTCACCAAAAAACAGCTTTTAAAGCCATGGTTGAAAAGTGCCTCACAACTATTGTAAACTATGTTACAGCAACTTTTGTCCCATTTTAGATCGTCTTGAGATGTAATGGCAATTCAGAATTTTGTAGTTCATTTCAGTTATGTGTGTATAATGAAAAAGTGAGGTCTTTTTAGCAAGCAAAACCTAACAGGCCGGTGTTTGGTGTTCTATGCTTGTGGTGACTTCAAATCTTGACCAGGGAAGCAGGAATCACTATCCTCTGCGTTTTGTCCCCTCAGGTGTTGTGTTTGTCTGAACGCTTGACACGCGGGCAGCGCCGCCTACTACCTCAGCTCCCGCCCGCTCTCGTTTTCCATGTCTTTCTCCCGTCAGACAGAATCCCGGTGAATATCTCTTCAATCCCAAACGCCGCCGTTCCCGGAACCGGCCAGCCCTCCCACCGTCCCTTGGCCAAGCTGGTTCATCAAGAGAATCGCCACGGACGCTCCTCCTCTCCGTTATCCCCCATACACGGCCGCCCTCCACTCTCCCGCCTTCCAAGCGGGGGCTGTTCCTTAGATCAGGCTCTACCCCCACGGGGGGGGAGATTGAGAGGCGGGGGCACAGAGACTGTCCCGGCCAGCGCTGATCTCGAGCTCCGATTGGCCGCTGTCTACGCTGACGTCACGATCATGATGAGAATTAATGATCGGAGGCGCTGATTTCATTGTGTGACGCCGGGACCGACCCAGCCGAAACCGGCTGAATTCGGAGCCCTGGGCCCCCCCGGACCAGCCCCGCCTGCCCCACAGAGCACGGTGGGTTCGGCGGCAGGGGATCGGGCGCAGGGAGGGGGAGGGGCGCGATCGGCGCGCGGACCCTGAGGGGGGGCCGAGTGAGGAAGATCGTGGGGAGGGGGAGAAGGGCGGCGGTGTGAGGACTTGACGGGCGGCCTCTTCGATGGCCTGTGGGGGCTGCGATCGAGGAAGACGCTGCCCCCTCCCCCGCGCTATCACTTCTTGGCTGAAGGCTTTGAGGTGAGGGGGGGAGGAGCCGGGGAATCGAGATCGAGGGAGGGAAGGAAAGGAGGGGGGGGACACAAAAAAACTCCCGAGCCTCGGCTTCAACCTGGAGCTCGCGGACCATAACTCGGGGGCGCATGCGCACCTGAGCATTCGGTTGATCTGCGGCAGGAGACGCCAGCGTGATCAGCCCCCTTGCGCGAACTTGGAGGCGCTTGCGCGCTGCGCGCGAGTATAAAACGAGGCGCTTGTGCGCATGCCCTTGGGCGGAGAGCGAGGCGGGACTGAGAAGACGAAGTCGTGCCAGCGGTAGCCCAGGGTTTGGGAAAGCAGCGTCTTGGGCAGTGCTGTTGCAGCCACCAAAGGGCAGCACTGCTCAGCTTTTAGCACGCTGCTTGCTGTTGGGGTTTGCGGCGCACCTCGAGAATGTCTCGGATTTCTCAATCCAAAAAAGGGAGCCGGCGTCGCTCCTCGAAAATATCTCGGATTATAGAATCCATATCGCCCGACGTTTTTACCCATCCTTACAGCCCCTATCCTCCAATATTTGAAAATGTACGCATGCGTAGTGGCAGGTTTAGTTGCTAAAACTACGAGTTACAGAAGTTGCACAAGGAGTAGGCAGAGAAGCAAAATTTGTGCAAGTTGTAGGGAAAAGGAATAGGCGTTTGTGCCTGCTTGGCTTGCCTGTGCGTCTGCCGTGTAAAAAGTCGAACTTGGTGGTGGTGTATAATTGGTGGTGGTGTGCCTCCTGTAACGCTAGTCTAACTTTTTTGTTGGTAAGAATGCGAGTTTTCATCTTCATTCATATGTATATGTGTTTTGAAAATTGCAAGTTATGGGGGAGAGTGCAGGACAATAGTTGCATTTGGCAGGTGTTGGCAACGAAGAAAAGAAATGGGGAGTTGCTAATGGTTTGTCTGTGAACACAGTCAAGTGTTCTTATGTCATGTGTGTCTTCGGCTTTTCCCGAAGTAAATGTTCATGAAGGCAAATGTAATGTACAGTGGCACCTTGGGTTAAGAACTGAATTTGTTCTGGAGGTCCGTTCTTAACCTGAAACTGTTCTTAACCTGAAGCACCACTTTAGCAAATGGGGCCTCCTGCTGCCACCGCGCCACTGCTGCACGATTTCTGTTCTCATCCTGAAGCAAAGTTCTTAACCCGAGGTACTATTTCTGGGTTAGCGGAGTCTGTAACCTGAAGCGGCTGTAACCTGAAGTGGCTTTAACCTGAGGTACCACTGTATTTGCTTCATAATGTGGTATACAGTGGTACCTCTAGCTACATACGCTTCAGGTTACAGACTACGGACCTCCAGAACGAATTAAGTACATAACCAGAGGTACCGCTGTATAGTGATCTTTGTGGTGGTGAGGTGGTATTTTTGCAAAAAAGGTTATCAGTTGTGATATTGAGACAGATGCATCTTAGGGCTGATGAGATAAATGCCTAGGAATCTTCTTCATGCAGTGTCTAAGGGAGCATATTGTTGCTTGTCAGGAAAAAACAAAATGTGCATGGTGGTGTGGTATGTTACGAGTATCTACATTGCATTCACCATCTGTGTTGGCTTTTGGTCTTCAGTGGCATCAGCATAGCAGTAATAGAAAGCACCCAGTTTTTAAAATTATTTATTTATTGTATTTATAGCTTACCTCTTTTTTTCCAGGAGAAAAAGCAATTTGGTTCCAGAAATTCATTCAGATAGTGCATATAAAATATAACTGATAGAATTCTACAGGACGCGGCATTATTGTGTGACAACAGTCCAAATCCAGTGATCTCCAGATGGTGGAGATGTTAGATGTCTAGGCATTTTCACTTGGTTGCAAGGGGTCGAAAGCCAGGAGCAAAATGCCCCTGGCTAATTTTGAATATTGCTCACCACTCCTTTCATCCTCACAACAACCCTGCGAAGTAGCTTGGTTAGGATGACTGTCCCAAGGTCATCCAGTGAGCTTTATTACTGAGTGGGGATTTCAATCCTGGTCTCCCTAGTCCAACATTTTACCACCAGACTCTGTTTTTGTCCCATGGAAATTGCAAATGGATATTCAATTTCCCAGTTAAACCACAACTTCAGATATGGAAGGACTTCAGTATGGCCATACCTGGTGTTAAGGTGTGAAGGTTAAGAAAATCCCTCAGCACTGTTCATGCAAGGTCAGGTATTTTGTGTGATCATGCGTTTGGTATTCCTATTCTCAGTGCTGGATAAGAAGTACCAGAGTTTGATCAAACACATATATCTGCTGTAACATCATACAGTCTTTGTTGTTGTTGTTTAGTCGTGTCTGACTCTTTGTGACCCCATGGACCAGAGCATGCCAGGCACTCCTGTCTTCCACTGCCTCCCACAGTTTGGTCAAACTCATGTTGGTAGCTTCGAGAACACCGTCCAACCATCTCATCCTCTGTCCTCCTTGTCTTTACCCATTTATAATGGCATTAAGTTTTGTGCACCAGATTTAATCTTGTCAGGTGCAGTAAGTAGTATCTGACATTCATATCCATATATCATTTCGATCATAGGTGACTAACCTCCAGACACTGAATTTCAACTCCCAATATTTATTAGTAAAAATAGCTACATGTAGCAATTTCATTAAAAATGCAAATATGTTGCACAACAAATATATAAATTCTAGAAACCAAATCACAGATCACTAACCATAAGAGTTCCCCTCCCTTTCTCTTTTATTGTCTACATAAGCCTAGTGATATAGAAAAAAAATCAGTAAACTGATGGTGTCTACTGCATTCCACAAGACTGGGCTGATGACACTGAAAGCTTGTGTTGACATCAGATGAGTCTTACCTACTTGCAGTGCAACCATAGACACTCTTGGCAGATGATTTCAGTGGTCAAGTTGCAATTAATATAAAAGCCACAAACCTGGTAGCAGGTGGCAAGCAGTGCAGATGTTTTCATGATGTCATCTATTGTCAGCTATCTACCTTCATCAACATTCCAGCTGCCACATTCTGTACCAGCTAGAGCTTTTGGACCAAACCCAAGGGTAGCCCCACATAGAACTCAATGCAGTAATCCAGCCTCTGGGTTAACCATGCCTCTGGCTTAGCCATTCTGACTGGTGCTGATGAGAACTGTTGAGTCCAATAACATCTTGAGGTCCATAGGTTAGTCACCCCTTGATTCTAAGCTGTGTGCATTTAAAGAAAATGATGGTCTCTAAAGAATCCTGGGGACTATAGTGTTTGAATGGTGCTAGGTGTTCTAGTTGTGAGTGGTAAACTACAGTTCCCAGGATTATTTGGTCATGCACTTTAAATGTGTGTTGTGTATTTAGGTGATGTAAGCAACCAGCTTTTCTAAAAAAGAAAAGCACACACTAATCTGAGGATCTGCAACATGCACATCTTTGCAAATGACAATGGTCCTTTTTCAGCAATAGTAGCTATACAAATAGCTATTGCTGATATCCTTCTTTGAGCCTCAGAATAATTTGTGGACTTGCATCCACTGATGAATTATATATTGCATCCCATATTAGAGAGATAAGCCAACCAGCATTCTTCTGGGGTCTTTATCAGCAAGGTGGCATTTTTTTGCTATTGATTTTTCCCTGCATTACTTTGTTCTCTGGCTATACTTGGAAGTCTCTTTAATGAGTGTCCACTTCATATGCAGTTATTGACTTTTCATTCAAAAGTAGTACATTTCTCTATGGGGGGAAAATGGAGCCAACAAGTACTTCCAATGTCCAGGTTGATGGTACCAATGGATTGGTAAAGGCTTCTAAAAAGGAGCTTGCCATTCTTTTGGGCTTACAAGTACTGTATAGGTTTTGCTAACCCATTAATTGTTAGAAAATGTACACGTTACCATGGAGGTAGCTACGAAGATGGCAGCAACCACTGCTCAAAGTTACGTGTGCTGTAGGCCTAAATACCATTGAAACAAATGAGATTTACTCTGGTGCATATTTGATTAGACTTTGTTTGCTGGTCCCTCTGCCTTTTCCAAGTCAACTGTTTTGGAGCTATGTCTAACCTTGGTATGAAACGTGTAGCACAATTGCTTTTAACTCATTTCTATAGCCAACATTACTCTTGCTATCAGGTTAAATCTAAGCTGTTGTATATGTTGTTAAATCTAACACATAATGAAGTATTGTCTCAAGTTAGAATGCTGTGTCCATTTATTTGGAAATCAACCTTGTTGAAGGCCTTTAGTTCAGTGGTAGAACACAGGATTCACCTGCAAAAGGTCCAAGGTTCAATCCCTGGCGACCTGCATTTAAAAGGACCAGGTTGGACAGGTGTGGGGAAAATTTGGTCCTACACATGTTGCTGAACGACTCCACCCATCTGACCAATCACCAGAGATGATGGGAGTTGTTCAGTAGCATCTGAAAGGACAGAGGTACCCCAGACCTGAAGTAGGAGGTGGTAAGAAACATCTCTGCCCAAAACTTTGGAGAGTTGCTGCCAGACAGAGTACACAATGCTAGGGATGATAGAATCCTGCTTCCTATATTTCTGTTTAGGAGAGTGAGTAGACCTGTTAAGAACGCTTTAGTTTTAGATCTATGCTTACTGCGGGCTAGGAGCTGTTATAGTGTGTGTGAGGATACAGTTTATGGTTAAATATGTGGCAGTGTTTCCTCTTTGGTATTTAATTTTTTAAATTTTTTTTTATTTTTTGCATTTGAGCCACATATAAATGGTTTGTGAGAAATAATTCACCTAGCAATCATTTTTTAAAAAATAATATTTGTTAAGTTTTCCATTTTAATAATCCAATAAAAACACATTAAAACATTCCAAATTACAATACAATAAAAAAGCCAAATGTAAATGCCAAATTATGTATCTTTGGGTGTCTTCCCATGCTCTGAATTTCACGAAATGCTGATCATCCAAATATCACATAGCATTTCTTAGTTAGTCAATAAACCATTCCGATGTTAATCCTTCATTTAATTTTCATTTATTTTTGCAATCACTGGTCTGTTCAACTTTTGCCTTCTTAATTCTGGATGAAATATTTCCCCTGTTGTTATCCACACTCCAGCAATTTCAGTTTCAGTTTCTGCTCACAGGAGCCATAATATTCCACATCCCAAACCCTGGGCAGAAATCTGAAATTCCCCTCTGTAATCTCGCTCCATCTCCCAACATGCTAGTACCTCTGCAGAAACACATTAACTCCAGTCCAGAATTCTTTCCATCTTCCACTGAGGGTAGCTGCCAGAATCTTCACCCAGTCAGTATTACAGTTGGAACCTCGGGTTGCGAAAGTGATCTGTGTGGGAGGCACATTTGCAACCCGCAGCACCGCGTCTGCACACACGTGGATCACGATTTGGCGCTTCTGCGCATGCACCATTCTGGTACTTCTGGGTTCGGCGCAGTGCGCAACCCGAAATCATATAACCTGAAGCATCTGTAACCCGAGGTACCACTGTATATTTAAACCACAACGGCGGCAAAATGCTCTTTCAGGCTCGCTTGCGTATTTCAAACAGTTGCCCTTCGGGGGAGGTTTACCAGGTAAAACTACAAGTACAAATTGTATAGTCCCCCTGGGGCTATACAATTAATCCACCAGTTAATTCAACAAGCGGGTTAGTCCTTTGTGATGTTATTCTTGCTCCTCATCGACGCTACTTTCGTTTTCTGCTCACAGGGATAATTTTAACTGTGTCACAGTCCACCATTAATCCTGGGCAGATATCTAGAATTCTCCTCTTTGGTCTTCTGCTAACGAGATGGTGCCTCCCCGCTAACTCAGTAACTCCAATCAGGAATTCCTTTCATCTTTCCCTTAATGGTCATTGCCAGAATCATAGTCAAAATTTCACAAAGTTTATTTTGCATGTAGCTTAGCGCCCACTCATATATTTCAAACAGTTGTCCTTTAGTTACGACGAAAGTCTTTCTCCACATCAAATCCTTCTCAGTGGCTGGTTAAATTAGCAAATTATTTTATCTCTGCTAGTTCACAGCATGCCTGTTAAATAAGTCTGAATTTTTATCTTAAGAAACTGGTGTCCTCTGCTCATGGCGCCAGCTTTCAGGAGATGCCAAGATGTGCAGTGCATTGCACCCAGCGCCCCCTGGATTCCTTCAGGATGGGCAACAGGTATCAGATGATCTGGGGTGGCCTGCTCCCCCCAGCCCTGGTGGGGGGGGGCCTTCGGGAGGACAATTACTCCCATATTATCCTTGTTGTCTGCACGAAAGGGCTGCACTGTTATGGGCACAGCCATTCACCATGGCAGCCAAACAGGAAGTCCAATAATTCACCTAGCAATCTTATTTCCTAACACATAGTAGCCTTCATATACTCTTCTATGTTTGAATAGATTAGCACTAGTAGAGCAGATGTGGTTGTTAAAGTAAATGTTCCATCCATGGAGCAGAAGGTTTGGGCAATATTTCGTTTTTAGCTAAATATTCTTATATATCACATTGTCTGAAATGGGAATGGAACTATGTAGAGGTGAACGGAGCAATGTCCTGGCAACTGCTATTAATTAGGAGTCTAAAACTGGTAATTTTTTACTTACCTTTAACATACTGTTACTTTACAGTATAGATAATTTTTTAATTAGCATATTTTCTCTAAAATTAGAGGTGTAGAAGTACAGCAAGAAGCAGTTAGAAACTCAGGTATACATCTTTCATACAAGATACTCTTTCCATTTGAGTATCCATTTTAGACACTCTATACAGGGCCCAGAACAGACTCTTCCTGTAGGAACTTCACATGACTTAATCTGCTTTTCTTGAGCTGGATGATATACATTAATTTCAACAACCTTAATATGCTCCATGCTTTTTCAGAGCCATTATTTTTACTGTTTGGGTAACTCATTCTTGCATTTATATGACCATAAAATGTGATCTGTATATCAGTTCTACTTGTGCTGTAAGTTGTTATACAGTGGTACCTCTGGTTGCGAATGGGATCCGTTCCGGAGGCCCGTTTGCAACACGAAAAGAGTGCAACCCGCAGTGGCGCGTCTGCGCACGCACGGGTTGCGATTCGCCACTTCTGCACATGCTCATGACATCATTTTGCGCTTCTGTGCATGCGTGAGTGGCGAAACCCGGAAGTAACCTTTTCTGGTACTTCCAGGTTGCCGTGGGATGTAATCTGAAAGAAAGTAACATGAAGTGGACGTAACATGAGGTATGACTGTACAGGCTTTGTAATATATGCACCACTTTAGTAGAAACTTTGGGTTTAGCTTTTTCTATGTTTGCTTAAATTTGCACAAAAATAATAGTTTCTGGGGAACCTCTTGTAGTTTTTCCTGCACTTTGTTAGATTTATGAGGGATTCCCAAACAGTCACTCATCCAGATACTGTGCAGAACCAGAACTGCTCGGCTTTAGAAATGGCAAGTTTTTAGTCACTTTCAGGTGTTGGAAAGGGAAATCAAGATACCTCCACAGTGCTACTTTATAACTAGGCAAGTCCATGTGACTGAAGAGAAGGCTGAAACATTTGAGAAGGGTCCTTATGCTTCTGGTCCTGGGCTCTGAGGGCAACACTTTTTGCCCTTCCACATACATAGATGTGTATAGAAGGACTGTAGCTCAGTGATAAAGCACCTGCTCTTCATGCAAAATGTCCCAGGTTCAATCCCTGGCATCTCCAGGTAGATCTAGAAAAGCACCCTAGGGCCACCGCTGTCCAGAGTTGTTCCTGGTTTAGCATAATGTGGCTTTGTACATTCTCATATACTTACAAGTTCAGGGATAGCAAGCCAGCTATATCATATCAGATAAGCTGTGGCTCTTTCATTGAAGTATATTACAGAGATCCCTTGCTTCAATGTCTGCAAGATGGAACAAATTTCCCCCCTGTTCCCAGTCTGTGCAATCAAGTATGCCCCAGATTGCAAGCAATTTCTTTTTTCCAATAGAACTCAGTGGAAGCTATTAAGAACCAAGTGTCCCACTTCTTGGACATTCTTGAATGTGGCTGAGAGACAGAATCCATTCCTGAATGCCTACAAACATGATTCTATCAACAACCCTCCTAGTTATTTAAAAAATGTGGCAGTTCTCTGATTCTTGTATGTATTAATATTTTTGTATGATTAAGAAAACTGATAGCAGATAAACCAGAATATAACAGAGCTCAGTCCACTGTAGTTTTCTATTTGCTTGGATAAGTGAGCACCTGCTTTAAAAAATAATAATAATCTGCAAGTCTTAAATTATTCCAATTTTCATAGTATCTTCTTTTATTTTTAGATGAATCTGCGTTCTGTATTTACTGCAGAACAACAAAGGATATTGCAGCGTTATTATGAAAATGGAATGACAAATCAGAGTAAAAATTGCTTTCAGCTCATATTACAGTGTGCACAAGAAACTAAGCTGGACTTCAGTGTAGTCAGGGTAAGTACTCAGGTCTTCCATGCTAAAATTTGCATAACAGTTTATCAAATGCACTTGTTTTGCTTCTTTATCTGCAGGGGACATGGAGCTATTAAGAAACCAAAAAGCTCCTTTCCCCAATATAACTTGTGCTTTGTCCCATCCCCCCCATGACAGCTCGTTATAGTCTTGCCTGTTGTTTGAGATAGTGCTATGAAGTGCTTTCATCTTGTCCAAACAACTTAAGTCTCTTTAGCATCTGAAGTTAGGGCTTTTGTTGAAATTCTAGCTTTTGTAGATGTTTGAAAAATTTCTTTCATCTTTTTAACTTGGATGTTTGATTATTATTTCAAACAAGATTGTGTGAAGTATGTAAGGGACACTTCACACATTACATTGGGGTGCAGTTACATTGATGCTTTGTAGATTTATGCCTACAAATTAAGTGTAACAAATATGCCTTTGTAAGCACCTGTATCATACAGCTATGCTTGTCAGGAGTTCATTATTGGCTGCAGTTCCCTGTTGAGTGTATGCTTGGTGGCTTTGCCTCCTCCTAATGGGTGCCTTGGTAGAAAGATGGTATATAAATGCAGTAAATAAAAGAAATAAAGGCTCTCAAACAGTGTGAAATGAATCTGAAACAGTAGTTTAATTGCATTAGTTTGCACTACATTAGTAAAATGTTGTAGTTTACTTTCGTTTCTGCTAAAACAGGAGTGGGTGGGCAATTAAGTTCATTCTATGGTAAGACAACACACCCCCCTTTCTCAACTGATGAGGAAGACGCTGGGGACATTTTAGCCATTTTATGAAATTCTTGATCTGATTTGGATATTAGGAAGATTCCTGGTATATGTGTTGTTGCTCTTACAATTTGTGATAATCTTTAAGAATTTCTTTTGAGTTGACCTCACTTGTTCTTATGAGTGGTGGGGTAAATGCTAAGTCCTTGTAGTTCTAGGTGAGGACAGTACCAGGAAAGTACTAGCTGCCTTGGAATATTTTTTTCAGCCATGTACATTGCAGTGCGTTGTTCAGGGGCCTTGCTTGGAACTATTATGTATCTATTACGCTGAAGAAATGATAGAATATACTTTGATAGCAGGACCAGCATGTTCTTCACGCCCCAACTGTTCAATAGCAAAAGTTCGATCTTCAGAAATGGGTAGATGGAGATCTTTGCAGCATGATTGTAAACATTAGGAGGTGGTGATGTGTGCGCATCAAGCTGCTATTAAAGGTACAGTCACATAGGACAGTTCAAAGGTTTACTGCTCAGTGTCCAGAAATATTAGAGTTCAGTATTGATCCTTCCTCCTTGGAGAAGGAAAAGATAAAGAGACAGAAAGTTATGGTGGAAAGGGCCTGGGGGGGGGGGAAGATGAATCTTGCACTCTGGTGGCTTGTTTATGGGCAAGGGCATGTGGTATATAAGCAACAGCTGGAAAATTGCAAGTGGTAGTTAATAGTAAAGGTAGAAGTCACTCATGTGTCTCATTCATTCACTTTTTTAGTCTTTGTACTGTGATACTCTGGACTGAATGAAATGAATTTGAGTTGGATCCTTTGCTGATGAACCCTTTTGTGTTTGCAGACCTGGGTTGGCAACAAAAGAAGGAAGATGAGCAGCAAGAATGTTGTGGATTCTGGAGGCACCCCATCAGGGACTGTTGCCAGCACGTTGAACATACCTACAGTAACGAATGTCCGAAGCATAGCCAACCTTGCTTCCCCCCAAACCCAACAGGCATCTTGGACGTCCTCCAACAACGATGTCATGGTAACCGGTGTATACACCCCAGCCAGATCTTCTCACAGGCTGGTGTCCACTAAGCAGTCCAGTGCATCGGTGAGTGATCTGCATAAAAATTCTCTTCCAAGGCCACAAACAAAAAGTGAACCTGAGTTTCAGCGGCAGCAGATTGCAGTGGCACAGCAAGCCCCCCACTGTAAAAATGCTTCTCTGTTCCTGGGAGAAAAGACTATTATCCTGTCAAGGCAAACAAGTGTGTTAAATTCAGCAAATTCTATTTATGACCATGCTAAGAAAAGCTATGGTGGTTCTTCGGTTCAGACTGCAGAGTTGGTTTTACCTCAGAAGCCCATGTTGTGCCACAGACCAAGCAAAGTGGAACAGATGGGATGTCAAAGGTTACCGAAACCGGAGCATCCGATCCTAGCCTCACATGTGCCATCTGGGCAAAGGGCCAGCATTAGAGATCCTTCCTGCAGCACACACAATGTGGAAATTCGAGAGGTTTTTTCCTTGGCTGTTACCGATCAACCTCAGAGAATCCTGGGAGGAAATACTCAGAAGCCACCGTCCTCTTCTGCAGATGGCAGTTATTTGTCCATTGCCATGGAAACGGGGGATGTCGATGATGAGTATGCTAGAGAGGAAGAATTGGCATCAATGGGTGCCCAGATACAGAATAACCCCCGACTAAGGGGCACATCCCTCATGGTGGAGAACCCAGGCACAGGCCCAGCAGGGTCAGGCAGAAGTGTTGGCTGCAGTTCACACTTGGTTAATTCCAGGGACTTGCACAACAGTACCCCGTATCATAACAGAGACTACCACTTGCCTCCACGTACCTCCTTGCATACTATGTCCAGCACACTATATAGCAGTTCTTATCCATCAAGAGGTAATCTGTCTTCTCATTCTGCAGCTTCCAATCAACGAAGGCTGTCTCAAAACCAAAATAATTACCAGGTAATTGGAGTTCCTCCTACGTTTTAATGCTTGTGCTTTGACATCGTCTTCTGTTTTGTTGATGTTTTTGTAAACCGTGAGTTCCAGCAAGTTAACTTCTGTGCAGTGAATTGCAGCTGCTTTATGCATTTCTTGCCAAGAAAACACCTTGAATCATTATGCATTCTATTCCATGATTTTGGACACCTTATCCTCTGCACCAATACATGAAGCTGCAGAGTCTTGCTGTATAGTGGAGCCATAGGTGTGACGGCCATAAGGTTCTCCTGCATGTGCGAATCACATCTGCCTTTTGTTTTCTTTTCATTGCTACTTTGGCCTAAAGCCTCTATCCATGAATGGTAAAGGTAACTCCAGTGTGCCTTTGCTGAGTCTGTCTCACCATTCCTGCTCTCTTCATTTGCCTTGAAAGAGGTATCATGCCTGGACTTTTCACTCATTCAGTGTTCAAAACTCCCATTGTTCTATGTGCATTTTGTGAATTTCATTAGCACAAGCAGTTTCTGAGCTCTGGGTGCAGTACTGTGCTGAAGATTTCAGACTTCAGAGTGGAACAAAAGGAGGAGCTTTTTCTGCCTCCCCACTTCCAGCTACTCTCTGAAGAATATTAGGGGGGTGGGTAGGGAAAGGACTAGACCATGTGAAAAATGAACATAATGTTTTAGCTGCAGTTCATTCATTTTCAGCTTTGTATTCTTGTTATTAAAAAGATTGCCTAGACATTCTGTTGTTGCACCCATAACCTAGGTTTTCATATCTCAATTTCTAACACTGCTCATATTTACAGAGGCAGTGAAACATGACAGTCTTAGTTTTCCTGCATTGGCACTTGCTGCAGTTGCCTAAGCCACAAGGATGCTGGTACCAGGCCTAGAGAGGTTCTGGTTAGACCTGCCCAGGATTTGTGACCAGTTACGTTAACCTGATGGCTAAATTGCTATCCAAATTATCTGCCATCCTGAGAGTGACAGCTTTTTTAACCTGAGAGTGGCTGCTAAATTCATGGAAGATTTTTTCAGTGTATGAAAGGTTTGACTGATGATATTTTTGCTCTAGTGCAGGGGTCAGCAAACTTTCAGCAGGGGGCCAGTCCACTATCCCTCAGACCTTGTGGGGGGCTGGACTGTATTTTGTTTGGAGGGAAATGAACGAGTTCCTATGCCTCACAAATAACCCAGAGATGCATTTTAAATAAAAGGACACATTCTACTCATGTAAAAACACGCTGATTCCTGGACCGTCCACGGGCCAGATATAGAAAGCGATTGGGCCGAATCCGGCCCCCAGGCCTTAATTTGTCTACCCATGCTCTAGTGTGTAGTTTTACTACAAATACTAAACCAAAGATTGTGAAACTTTGTGCTTTTTACTGTGAATGTTGCTTAATCAGATTTCAGCTGCTGCTGAAAATGCTTTTAAATGTTTTAAAATAGATTTAAAATAGTTTTTAATCTGTGGCATTTTAAATGTTGGGTTTTGTGTGGTTTTTACTCTGTTGGGGTGGGATAAACGTTTAGTTGGGGTTGGGGATTAGTTTAATTTTAGTATAAATGTAGTATTGGTTTTTACTGTTTGATTGTATAGTTTGTATTTTGTTTAGAACGGCAGAGGGTTAGGGCTGTTTGGGAGTGAGCCCCAGTTAACAGAATGGCTGGGGTTCCATGGGGGGATGTACTGGGACAACTGATCTCAGTGACCGATCTCAGGAGGAGGAGGAGTTATGCAGGACCAGACCATGTCATTACTGAGGAGGCAGGTTTGGTAGTTGGTTGAAGACTATCCCTGCCCCCGGGTCTGGTCTTGACCAGAAGGATACTGAAATTGACAAGGGAGACCCACATGACCTTAAGGTGCTGCTTGCAATGCCAAGTCAATGATTCACAAGACGGCTGTCATCCATGACTTGATCGTGGATGGAGGACTTTATCTGGCATGTGTAACAGAGACTTGGTTGGATGAAGCAGATGGGCCTGTCCTTGCCACTGCTTGTCCACCGGGCAACCCAGGTCAGCGATGGGGGTAGAGATGCTCCTTCAGGAATACTGTTGATGGCCTTTCAGCTGATGCCCTGGTGGTCTGCTGCAATGTGGAGTTAACCAGGGCTACTGACTGTCTGGCTCTGAAGTGCCCTCACCGATTGCATTGAGCTCAGACAGCCCCGTGGTTTTCCCCAGAGCAGAGGGCGATGAAATAATTGCTGAAACAGCTAGAGAGCCGGTGGCAGAAAACTCATTCTGAATCGGACCAGACACAGGTTAGAGCTCAGTGTTGAGCCTACCAAGTGGTAATAGCGACAGCACAGAGGATCTTCTTCATCGCCTCTATTGCATCTGCAGAAAACAGCAGCAGAGACTCTTTTCAGGTGGTTCACAATTCAACAGAACCACCTTTGCCATTGGGGCTTGGTAAGGACCCCAAGATCTCCTGCAAAATTTTTTTTGCAGATAAAGTCGCTCAGATTCGGAAAGAGGTAGAATCCACCTTGGGAGCAGGGCCAGGGCAGGAGAGTGCTAGAGTCCTGTCTAGTCAAGTTGCATGGGATCAATTCCAATCTGTTATCTCCATGGATGTGGACAGGCTGCTTGGACAAGTGAAACCGACCACCTGTCTCCTTGATCCTTGCCCATCCTGGCTCATAAAAGCAAGCTGGGAAGGGCTGGGCAATGGTCTCTGTGGGGTGGTGAATTCTTCCCTCTGTGAGGGAGCCTTCCCAGACCTGCTGAAAGAATTGGTTATTAAAACACCGTTAGACCCAGCCAATATGGCCAACTATCGCCCAGTCTCAAATCTTCTATTCTTCAGCAAAGTGATTGAGCGGGTGGTTGCTGAACAGCTCCAGGCATGCCTGGAGGATGCGGACCATTTGGATCCTTTCCAGCCAGGATTCAGGCCTCATCATGGGACTGAAACTGCCTTGGTCGCACTGGTTGATGATCTCCGGCGGGCTAGGGACAAAGGTGAAAGCTGTTTCCTGGTTCTGCTAGATCTCTCAGCGGCTTTTGATACCATCAATCACGACATCCTTCTGAACGTCTAGTGGGACTGGCAGCTGGGGGCACTGTTACACAGTGGTTCTGCTCCTTCCTGGGCCGTGTCCAGAAAGTGGTGTTGGGGGATGAGTGTTCAGACCCCTGGGCTCTCACTTGTGGGGTGCTTCAGGATTCTGTCCTCTCCCCATGCTTTTTAACATCTATATGAAGCCGCTGTGAGAGATCATCAGGGGGTTTGGGCTGGGTGTTCATCAGTATGCGGGTGATACCCAGCTCTACCTCTCTTTCAAATCAGAACCAGTGAAGGCGGTGAAGGTCCTGTGTGAGTACCTGGAGGCGGTTGGAGGATGGATGGCGGCTAACAGATCGAGGCTGAATCCTGACAAGACAGAAGTACTGTTTTGGGGGGACAAGAGGCAGGCAGGTGTGGAGGACTCCCTGGTCGTGAATGGGATATCTGTGCCCCTGAAGGACCAGGTACACAATCTGGAAGTCATTTTGGCCTCACAGCTGTCCATGGAAGCACAGGTCAATTCTGTGTCCAGGGCAGCTGTCTACCAGCTCTACCTTGTACACAGGCTGAGACCCTACCTGCCCGCACACTGTCTCTCCAGAGTGGTACATGCTCTAGTTATCTCCTGCTTAGACTACTGCAATGTGCTCTACATGGGGCTACCTTTGAAGGTGACTCGGAAACTACAATTAATCCAGAATGTGGCAGCTAGACTGGTGACTGGGAGTGGCTGCCGAGACCATATAACCCGGGTCCTGAAAGACCTACATTGGCTCCCAGTACATTTCCGAGCCAAATTCAAAGTGTTAGTGATTTAAAGCCCTCAATGGCCTCGACCCAGTATACCTGAAGGAGCGTCCCCACCCCCATCGTTCAGCCCAGACACTGAGGTCCAGCTCCAAGGGCCTTCTGGCGGTTCCCTCACTGTGAGAAGTGAGGCCACAGGAAACCAGGCACAGGGCCTTCTCGGTAGTGGTGCCCACCCTGTGAAATGCCCTCCCATCATATATCAGAGAAATAAACAACTACTGTATCAGACTGTTAGAAGACATCTGAAGGCAGCCCTGTTTAGGGAAGTTTTTTATGTTTGATGTTTTATCATGTTTTTAATATTATGTTGGTAGCCAGAGTGGCTGGGGAAACGCAGCCAGATGGGCAGGGTATAAATAAATTATTATTATTTATTATTTTATTTAGTAGTGAATGGTAAAATGACCCTTTTATAGTGAAAGAGTGAAATTCTATGGCTAGATTAGCAGTTCAAAAAATATTGTTTCCGAATTTCTTTATTAATGTGGAGAGGAAATTGTACATGGATTTGGCTCTGAAAAAGTTGGCTTTTAAAACATACGTTTCTCATCCTATTGCACTATATTTGGAGTGGATGTGGAGATACTCACCTCATATAATGGGCAGATAGTCACTTTTTATTCTGCTACTGATTCACCTTGTAAATTCTGCTGCCAGACATCTATACTACATAGTTACCAACGCTTTTAACTACCTTATTTTTCGCTCTATAAGACGCACCTTTTCCCTTCTAAAAAGTAAGGAAAAATGTGTGTGCATCTTATGGAGCGAGTGCAGGCTGCGCGGCTAAGCCCAAAGCCAGAACAGGGAGACGGAGCGCTCCGCAGCGCTCCGTCTCGCTGTTCTAGCTTCTGGCTTAGCTGCGCAAAGCCTCCGCAGGGCAGCGGGATGAAAGCACCCCGCTGCTCTGCGGAGGCTTCAAAGGCTGTCCCCGAAGCCAGAACAGCAAGAGGCTATCCCAGAAGCCAGATCCCTCTTGCTGTTGTGGCTTCTGGGGTTCAGAATTTTTTTCTTCTTGTTTCCTCCCCCCCCAGACTAGTTGCGTCTTATTGTCCGGTGTGTCCTATAGAGCGAAAAATATGGTATATTCTGGTAATGGCGGTAATTTAGGTATGATACAAAACTAGCTAGAGACACTTTTAGAATTAAATAAAAGTAATTATTATAAAGTATAAATATGAAATAAATACTATACAGTTCTTCCAATTTGCTACTGTGTCTTTAAGACCTACTTATATTTGCTGTCATAGGGTATCTTTCAATGACAGTTACAGACGTTTACATAGGCCTGGCTGATAAAACTTTATTCCTAACCTTATTTAACTTGATAGCCAATAACACTTAGTCCCTTTCCCATAGTCAGTTGCACCACCAGGTGCTGTAGACTTCAGCTGGTTTTCTTTGAGTGAGGCTTGCAGGTAGTTCTCACTTTGGTCCAACTCAGAAGCTCCTGAAGGGATTCTCCTCACTGCTTTAATGCCTTTACATGGCCTCACTGCCAATATTTGGCTTAATCCAGTGATTCAGTTTTTTGGGGGGCAGGCTGTGTACTAAGCTTTCCTTTAGGCTCAATAGCCTCTTGCCCATCTTCTGCTTCTGCTTCTCCTTCAGCTGCCTACTCCAGCCTTCTCCCTCAGCTTCTGTCTTCCTCTTCTTTGTCTCTCTCCCTCTGTCTCCCTCTCTCTGGTCAGCAGTGTCCCTCAGTCAGTAGTAAAATAGGCCTATTTATGTTCTAGGTGGCTTGTCCTTCAAACCAGTCAAATTTTAGTGGCATAGTATTCTCCCCCTCCCCTCATCAGAACACTTTCCCCATCCATTGAGTGACCAAAACTCTATTCTAGTAAACACGTATTCGAGGGTGATTTATCCATAGTGTTTGTACTATGAAAAAAGCTAGTTTCTGATTTTTTAACTTGGAGATTGTGTTCAGTATTTGCAAGCCTTTAATGTGCAATGTTTCTGTTTGGGAAGGGCCCCCAAATCTGGATCCAGGACCATGGTGAATGGATTCTTTCCTTGTGCACTGAGTTTGTATCAAATTTCCATTCCTTACAAAGCTTGCATTGGGAAATCAGTGGAAGCTTTCTTATGGGGCTAAAAACCACCTTTGGGTGGGTTTTCTGTGAGATCACAAAATGTGGGGAAGCAGCCCCACCCCGACTTAGATCTCATATTTGAAGAACATAGATTGTGGGCTTTTGGACTAGCATTTATCAGTTACAGAAACAACTGTCTTAATGTTTTTGGTTTTATTTTGTTTGTTTTAAAAAAAACACTAAGCAAAAATGCTTTCTATTTAGATGATACAGGTGAGTGTTGTGGTTATCTCCTGCCATTCCAAATCCTGCTTGTTAATTTGCATTTCACAGTAGAGTTTAGATTTCTTTGGGTAATAAAAGAATAAAAACCTGTGGGGTATGTTTCATGGAAAAGGTTGATAGGCTAATTACCGGTTATTTTTCCAGTTTGAAAACCAGAACAATTGTGATCTTTTGCTTGATTATGAAAAGCCATTGACTGGGGACAGAGCGCATTTTATCTTGGCAATTTCAATGTAACAAAATCTGATTATAGAGGAACAAATTGCTAATGGCTTTCACTGCATGCAAATTTTTGCCAGCAGAAATAGTATTGCATTATGTTCAGCAATGTGATACTTCTAGATATTGAAATGTACTTTTCCTTTGGGATGAAATGTTTGTCTTGATGTAGTACTTTTGATATTTTAAAATACTTTAAAATAGTGTGTTCTTAATATAAATTCTATTAGTATTTTTTAATAGAGTACACTTGAAAAATAGTCATTCACTTTCAGAAGCAAACCTTGCTCCTATAGCGTGGCTTGCATAGAAAACACTGGTAGTGTGCAGGGCTACAGCCGTGTCACGTCAAAGTAGCCTTGGCTTGGAAGCTTCCAAACTGTTTGCTGTGCTAGGAATGGGACAAGCCACAGCAGACTCTCTCGGTGATAATGATGATGGTGATGATAATAAATTATTTATACCCTGCCCATCTGGCTGGGTTTCCCCAGCCACTCTGGGCGGCTTCCAACAAAAGATTAAAAACACATTAAAACATCAGTCATTAAAAACTTTCCTAAACAGGGCTGCCTTCAGATGTCTTCTAAAAGTCAGATAGTTGTTTATTTCTTTGACATCTGATGGAAAGGCATTCCACAGGGTGGGTGCCACTACCGAGAAGGCCCTCTACCTGGTTCCCTGTAACTTCGCTTCTCCCAGGAATGGAACCAGCAGAAGGCCCTCGGAGCTGGACCTCTTTGTCTGGGCTGAATGATGTGGGTGGAGATGCTCCTTCAGGTATACTGGACCGAGGCTTGTGCCCAACCGTGTACAAGCTACTAGGCTATAAAAGAACTTTACCAGACACCTGTCCACATCTTTCTGTTGCAGAGTGTCTTTAATAGTAGGCCTGGCAAATTATGTGTCCAGCTTCCTAAAAAGGAACAATTGTTCACTTTTGATAAGTAGTTAACTTCACAGCTGCTTAGGTTGATAAGACAGATCCTGCCAGATCAGATCAACAGTAAAACAACCAGGGGTTTCTGGCCTGATGTCATGGTCATGGTGGTCGAGCTCTTCTGCCCTCCAGGGCAGTGGAGCTGTCCGAGCAGGGGAAAGCAATAATTTATGAGGAAAAATTCCTGGCAAAGCTCCTCAGGGGATTCTGGGGAGTGCACGGTATCCTGCAGTGTCGCTTAAGCCTGTATCTGCCAGCTTGAAAGGCAGAACGGGTGCGGCCTGGGAAGTGTGTCCCTGCCATGGACGAACCTCCGTCTTTGGCATGATCTGTGATCAGTTCCTCAAGAATTTGGAATATTGGCTTTACTTAAGGGGCACTCCCCTGCAAAACAAAAGAATCGTGTGTAGTTGTTATGATGTTATTTTGTCTGATACTGAGGAAAAGAAAGGGGGCTCAACAAAGGGTTTTTACAATGTTTTTCCATACCCTCCCCTCCTGACCAAGGTAAAGGTAAAGGGACCCCTGACCATTAGGTCCAGTCATGGCCGACTCTCGGGTTGCGGCGCTCATCTCGCTTTATTGGTCGAGGGAGCCAGCAGACAGCTTCCAGGTCATGTGGCCAGCATGACTAAGCTGCTTCTGGCGAACCAGAGCAGCGCATGGAAATGCCGTTTGCCTTCCCACCGGAGCGGTACCTATTTATCTACTTGCACTTTGACGTGCTTTCGAACTGCTAGGTTGGCAGGAGCAGGGACCGAACAACGGGAGCTCACCCCGTTGCAGGGTTTCGATCTGCTAACCTTCTGATCGGCAAATCCTAGGCTCTGTGGTTTAACCCACAGTGCCACCCGCGTCCCATGTTCCTGACCAAGGTAATGGACCCTATTTAAATTATCTTTGGACTGAACCAGGAGTGGATGAGAGAGTAATTTGGCAAGACAAAGGACTGGTAATTACATCTGACAGGACTTTATATATGTGACTTTATTCTTTAACTGGCGGGCTGAGGAAAATAATCCCCAGTGTTTTAATGGCGGAGCAGGCATCTTGTCGGGGCATTATTTATAGCTCTGTAAGGCCTTGAACAACGGAAGGAATGTTTTCAAAGGAGTGGAATGTGAATGGACAAAGGACGATGGCATAAATTATCACTGTACACCAGGTCTGGGAACAGAGTTCTGGAAGAACTACACATGTGAAGTGGACTTTTATCTGTTTGAGAAACAACCAAGGTTACATATTATGAACAACCTCCATCTGAGGATCTTGTTTCCAATCTAAGTGTGAAGATTTTATTGGATAGCCTTCTACATGTCACCTGAAACAGAGATTCTCATTCAGGTGCCTAGCTGGGTGATTCAGACTACAGATGACATTTGGACTCATTGTATGGGAACATGGACTTAACGACGATGGCACCCAGATTAATGTGAGAGTAGTTGGTTTGTTTGGGCTTAATATCACCAGGATGGACTTCAAGACACTGCTGGCAACATAAGATAGTCAAGACAACACAAGAGCCAAGCTCAGTATCGGAGATGGAAAAATCTCTGACTCCTGAGGCCCACCTGCTCCCACACTTGACATCTTATAATGTCTGGGGGAGAGTGGGGAGAGCCACAGCTTTAGAATGTGCTCCCAGTTGTTCCTCTGCATGCGGGGCTTGTATTTGGCGCCTTTTAAATTTGGCACCAAATGCAAATCTATGACTAGAAAGGAAGATGATGATTCACCCTTTAAAGTTGAATCACTTGACTTCAGGTGACTGGCCTGTGGGGGGGGGGTGGACCAGTTCCAGATGCAGTCCACTGACCAGGTACAGTTTCCCTGGTCTGTGACAACAATTGTGTATCTTCCCAAACCCATTTTGAAGAATATTATTTTTCTTTCCTCAGATTTCAGGAAATATTCCTGCACCTTGGACTATGGGAAGTTCTCGAAAAAGAGCTGTAAGTACTTCTCACTGAAGCAGTAAGTGAACAAAGTGCAGACGTAGATTAGGTATTTTAAGCTTAGAACTTTTTAACTAATACAAGTAGGGTTTTAAATAAAGTTTGTCTTGAAACGAAATCTTTCCTCCCCACCCACAGCCCCCTTCCTACTTCCTCAGCATCTCCTGTTAAAGTGCAGAGATGACATTGTTAGATATGTGTAACCCACATTCAGAGGTATGCACTGTTTTTCCAAGTAACTTTGCATATTCACATTGCCTTTGCCATTGATAGTAATTCTGATTTATGTTACACTTAACTTTCAACCTTGTAAAATGCTCAAAGCATCTCTGTCAACACTGACAGTAGTGAATGAGAAAGGGTGAAGATTATCATCTGCATTCATGGAGATCCTAAAAGTCTCCCCATTGACAGTAATGTTTCCTATATTTTATTAATAGCTAGCAGTATCAACACGGATTTCTCACTGTTGGCTTAAATAATGACAAAAGCAATAAAACTTCAAAATTAAACCTGCTGTTAGGAATCCTCCTTTTGTAAGATGGACTGCAATGTATTTCCAGTTGTCAAATAATTCTAGTGATGGATTGGTGTCACTAAAATCAACTGGGAAAGCTCAGTGGAGTGAAAAATAGCATGGCATAGCCCTTTGGAAATGCAGAATAAGACTTAAAAGGAGATGAGCATTGCTAATGGCAAGAGTAACAAAGACGTCTCTAATGGATGGCTCTCAAAATAAAACCTTCATATTTAGAATTTATAGTCCATTTCAACTAACTATTGAAAGCTCTCCTCTTACATTCTGTGTGCCTCTAAATAGTTTTGCCTTCTCCTTTTCTGTCTCATTTAATTAATTTAGAGAGAATGAAACCCAGGCTGTCTGGCACATAGCGAAAGGAAAATGCAATGACAGAGAACTATAAATCTTTCAGTTCAGCAATAACTCTAAATCTACCATGGAAAAACAACAGTGCACAGACTCTGCTTTTAGTGTTGTTGGTTAACTATCTAACTATTAATTTGTGGTGGCATTGAATAGCCTCAATCTCTGCAATTGAATATGCTTTTAAAGCAATTTTAAACCTGTTTGTAGATGCTGTAGTCTTAACAAATGACACAATTTCTAGACTTTCATATAATCTCTCTATTTGCACAAGGAAATTGTATTCAAATGAGATTTGCTAAAAGGGTAAAGTATGTTATAAGTGTCTCCAGTTGTGCTAGGACAACAAAATAGCTCCATTGGTTTTGTGACCTAGGACAATCTTGAATGCCATTCTTAAATGAGCTGCAGATAAATTTTGACCCAAAGCCGAAGAAGTGTGCATGCACACGAAAGCTCATACCAATAACAAACTTAGTTGGTCTCTAAGGTGCTACTGGAAGGATTTTTAAAATTTTGTTTCAACGCTGTATAGAGATTCATCTTCTTGATACTTTCAGCATCACATTCCCCCAAATATCAATGACAGCTAGGAAAGGGGCAAATACCTCTAGTACAGCTAAATTATGTGTGTGTTGAATGTGTTGGAGCATGTACTGATCCATCTTGTTCTCATCTGTGCTGTCAAAATGTTTCTTTCAGCTGAGCTGCTTTTCCATTTCCCATTGACTCTTTGTGGGAGTGGGGCAGTGCAATCCTATTTTTCAGAACATAAGAATCCTCCTGAATCAGATGAAGAGCTCGTCTATTCCAGCATCTTGTTTCTAACAGAGACCAACTAAATGATTTTGGGAAGTTTGCAGGAGATCTGGAAAACCTTCTCTTGTTTCCCCCAGGATATAACACCCAAGTATTTAGTATCCTGGAATTTATTGCTTCTAAAGAGTTACATTTTATTATCTAGGGCCTTATCCATAAGTTACTGCTTTCCTGACTCTCATTTGAAATCATCTATGTAAATCTCTCAAAGTTTGTTAGTTTGAATACACAGTATATTAATTTTGTTAAATCAATAAATTTCAGCAAAACCCCCACATACTGGTGGAGCATACACAGACACTTACTGTCCCCTCTAAAGACAACTATTACCAAGAGGATTCAGTCCACTTCTTAATGTAATCTTGGAAGGAGAATGTGTAGTATGCTAGCCCTGAAAAATAAATTCTAATCCCATGGAAGCACCCTTGTATGTGCCACTCATACAGTGGTACTTCGGGTTACAGATGCTTCAGGTTACAGACTCCACTAACCCAGAAATAATACCTTGGGTTAAGAACTTTGCTTCAGGATGAGAACAGAAATCGCACGGTGGCGGCGCTGTGGCAGCGGGAGGCTCCATTAGTTAAAGTGGTACCTCAGGTTAAGAACAGTTGCAGGTTAAGAACGGACCTCCAGAAACAATTAAGTTCTTAACCCGAGGTTCCACTGTATTTGGTTTGTTTGATAGGTTATTATTGCAGTTGTACCTCAGGTTAAGTACTTAATTCGTTCCGGAGGTCCGTGCTTAACCTGAAACTGAAACTGTTCTTAACTGAAGCACCACTTTAGCTAATAAGGCCTCCTGCTGCCGCCATGCCGCCAGAGCACAATTTCTGTTCTCATCCTGAAGCAAAGTTCTTAACCCGAGGTACTATTTCTGGGTTAGCAGAGTCTGTAACCTGAAGTGTCTGTAACCTGAAGCGTATGTAACCCGAGGTACCACTGTACTTTTGTTTTAATGCATTTTTAAAATTTATACTTCATGCTCTTCAAAATTTGTAAACTGCTAGTGTATAGGGATTAATAAATTGAGTAAGTGCACAATAATAGTTCCTGGATGGAGAAGCTTTGTGGGTTAGTGGTTCCCAACCCCTGCTTTTGATATGGTGCCTTACTATAGATCAGAGAATCTAAAAATTGAAGCTTTTCTTATATATAGTCAGGCACAGTATTTAAGTATTTGCAGTTGTGCTAGATGCTGTCCCAGGGGTTTCAGTCTTTGTATAATTGAGGCAGGAACCCCAGAGAGGTGTGAGGTTGCCTACTCTGGAAAAACTGCTCAGGAATCTTCACCTTAACTTCTTTCTTGGTGGAATGCCACAGGTATGAAAGCAGTTTTGGGATTTTAGCTGTTTAAGTGAACATGGTCTTAATTAGCTGAAGAATATAATGCCAGATAGTTAAAAGAAAGGATAATTTTAAGGCCAATAGGTATCTCAAGGCATTGATAAACACCTCTTTATCCCATACCTCTGTTTTCTCCTAGTTGCGATGCAAGTGAATTTAGGTTAAAGAATCTTTAAAGGGACCCCTGACCATTAGGTCTAGTCGTGACCGACTGGGGTTGCGGCGCTCATCTCGCTTTATTGGCCAAGGGAGCCAGCGTACAGCTTCCGGGTAATGTGGCCAGCATGACTAAGCCGCTTCTGGCGAACCAGAGCAGCACACGGAAACGCCGTTTACCTTCCCGCCGGAGCGGTACCTATTTATCTACTTGCACTTTGACGTGCTTTCGAACTGCTAGGTTGGCAGGAGCAGGGACCAAGCAACCCTATCGCGGGGATTTGAACCGCCGACCTTCTGATTGGCAAGTCCTCGGCTCTGTGGTTTAACCCACAGTGCCACCCGCGTCCCAAAGAATCTTTAGCTTTGGTTAAAGAATTGTGAGCGTTACCTTCAGCACAACATTGCCCATGCTGTGGCATAAGAGATATTTTTGCATGGTGGTTAGAAGCGGTATTTATTATTTATTTCAGATATTTATATGCTGCTTAGTATTCAGGGTATGGGGACAGGGAAAGGAAGCCCTTCAAAAGAGTCAGTGCTGTTTGTAGGCCATCCCTTACCCAATATTGAGAAGAAACAAATGTTGACCTTCACACATGAGAAACCATATGTAATCTTGAGCATGACAGAGAGGCAGCCTCTACTTAGCCACAAGGGCTGCTTTTTATAGTGTATTAATTGAAGTTCTTTGCCAGAAAACCGTCTGACAACCTGTCCTTCAGCATCTGTATAACATGACTGATGAATTTAAGGCCAGGCAAGATGTGAATGATTTAGCAGACAGTGGTGCTTTAAAGGGCAAAGTGAAATCTTCAGTCAAAGAGCTTGTTTACATGGATTTCTTTTTTTAACCACCTGCTTCCTAATTCTTGGTTAGTGACAATCACCATGTCACTTTAAAAATCCCTTTGCTTAGTGAGGTGCCCTGCTGGCTGTCCTCCAGTTTTGGAGTCTTCTTCCTTCTCAAGTTTGCCAAAGTCCAGCCCTGAGCCACTTGGGTGGCTTCTTATTTGGGACTGGTGTTTAGTGACCAGAGATTAACGCCGCTGCCCCCGCAAAGTTCATTTTTTAATAGTACATTTTATATCCAGATTGGGGAACCTGTAACCCTTTAGGTAGACTCCAATTCCAATCAACCCCAGCTGACATGTCCAGTAGTTAGGGATGATGGGAGTTGAAGTCCAGCAACATATGGAGGGCCACAGGCTCCTCACCCCTGTTTTATATTGTGGAAGTTGGCTTTGCAGCCAATAACCAATGGAGTTATTATGGTTCCCCCTCAACTTGCATGGTGAGGAGGAGAGCCATGCTTTTCCAGATAAATGCAGCCATATTTATCCCCCGCAAGTGACCAGGCATGTGCTTTATCACCAGCCTAATCTACATGGTAACTTCTCATTTCATTCAAAGGTTAGGAGTTAGGAAATGGGCTTTAATTTTTGACTTTGAAACACCATGTGGAACACCTTCATTTTCAACTGTTGTCTCCTTTCTAATACTTAAAACAATAAAGTGTGTGCTTGATTTACAGCTACAAGACCGTACACAATTCAGTGACCGGGATTTAGCTACCCTTAAGAGATACTGGGACAGGGGCATGACGAGCCTTGGTGCAATTTGCAGAGAGAAAATTGAAGCAGTCGCTGCGGAGTTAAATGTTGACTGTGAAATAGTACGGGTAAGAACCTCCAGTCCTCCCGTTTCTGGTTGCAGAAAATAGCCTAGATGAAAGCTTTTTTAAAAAATTACATGAGGTAGACTGAAATAGACTGCACGTGTTACATAATGAATGGCCACGTTAGGAAGTGCTCTCTTGCTCTGTTTCCTGTCTATTTATAGTTAAAATCCCTCAGGTGAGACTTTTATCAATTGGCAGCACGAGCTGCATGTTTGACAGTCCAGTTGGACTGGGATTTTAAAACAAGCAAAGGCTTTCTGCAGAACTGAAAAGGAATAACTTGTGCAGTTAGTCAAAATATAAAAGCTCCTTGTGAAGGAGAAGGGAGCTGAGTTTTATTTTTATTTTTTTGCAAGGGAGCAGTACAGTTCTGTGTTGGGAGCTGAGTATGTTATGTTATATTATGTTATTTTGCTAAGAGAGCAACACAGTTCTGTGTTGGGAGTAATCCTTTGCATGTTTCTGGTCCTATGTTCATTGTCACTCACCTTGGGAGTTGTGAAAGACCTCTGCTTGGTACCCTGACTGGTCCAACAGTGAGCTTAATGGCTGAGTAGAAATCAGAATCCAAATCTTCCCCATTTCTACTTCAACACCCTAACCACTTTAACTTGTTGTCTCACAGTGATGATGATGATACTCACCATTATCTTTAAAATAACAAATTGGTGAAAATTACCTAAAGCAGATAGAAGCATTTCCCCTGAAATATATATGTTTGTAAATATATTTCCAAACAACATTAATATTCAGGAATTTATGTATTCTGTGTCCTTTCTCTGCTCGCCTCCTCTTCCCCCAATACTAAAGCAGGAAACCCCAGATTTTGTTCCCAAAATTAAGTATTCAGAGCAGGTAAACGTGTTTTGCAGTGTTTCATTCTGCGTTGTTGAAATTTCAAAAGAGGGAAAATACTTTGGGAAATATTAGCATATCCTAAAGGTGTGTGGGGAGCAGCATACAGTGGTACCTCAAGTTACATACGCTTCAGGTTACATACGCTTCAGGTTACAGACTCCGCTAACCCAGAAATAGTTCCTCGGGTTACTTTGCTGCAGGATGAGAACAGAAATCGTGCTCCGGCTGCGCGGCAACAGCAGGAGACCCCATTAGCTAAAGTGGTGCTTCAGGTTAAGAACAGCTTCAGATTGAGAACGGACCTCCGGAACGAATTAAGTACTTCACCCAAGGTACCACTGTATTAGGTAACAGCCTGGTCTAACTCAGTGAAGTAGAGATAACTGATATCCAGGCCTACATAGCCCACTGCACTCAGTGGGACTTAAATGTCAGTGTTTATTTTAGAAATTTCTGCCCTTCTTTCCTTCCACTAGGGGAACTCAGAGCACACAAGAGGATGGAGATACAGGCAAGCAACGTTTTAGGCGCAACAGATATGTGCGCAATTGCGCACACACGCGCAGTGCCGAACCTGGAAGTGACCTGGAAACATAAAGACGTCACTAAAAGGGCGGAACGGGAGTGGGGTAGGGGCAGGTTGTGGGCTGAATGAGGTGAGAGCGGGATGGAATGGGGTGTTTCAATTGCACACGATTTCATGCAAGTGCACAATGACCCAGAACCCAGAACGCCTGTACATGTAATCCATGTAATATCAAGCAGCATGATAAAGCTTCTCTCAAAAGGCCTGTAAAGAGCCAGGTTTTCACCAGGTGCCGGAAGGCATGGAGTGACAGCCTCCATAGGGCAGGCAGTGCCACAACTGAAAATGTGTTGCTCCTCTTTCTCAACTGATGAACCTCAGTTGGAGGAGAGACGTGAAGCAGGACCTCAGATGTTGAACCGAGTTTAGGAGAGGTACCTGTGGGCGAAGCTGGTTCTTAGGATACTTTAAACTGTGTAACTTCAATGTAATTGGTCTACAGGTGGCTAGATGTGGAAAAAAAGGAGTGGTAGATAGTGTTGAAATTCGATCTCCTGACCACTGGGAAACTTAGTTTCTCTTTGGTTAGTCATTCCTTATGCAGAACTATTAACCCCAAATTTGACTGTCTTCTGAACTTCCAAAAATGATAGCAAAGACCCGCACACCCCTTAATCAGTGATTATGTTTCAGCTAGCGGTTTGCATGTGTGAAACAACTGACACAGGTCAAACACTGCAAAAGTGATTTTGGGTCTTGTAACACTTGCAGTCTCTACAGTGAGTTGGAAGTTGTCGAATCAGCACTTTGGAAAATGCTGCAGATTCTAGGTACTAACCAGTGTGCTAATGATTAGCAAGAAGATGGTGCCTAGCTGGGAATAGTGATTAACAGAAATTGAGGGCAGAAAATTTGCAAAGGCAAAGGTGGTAGCTCCTGGCCTGTGAACCTAGTTAGACTCACCTTCTAGCTTACGAGGCCATTTTAGCTAAGGTTCACCTGCCTACCATGTGGGTGTGGGGCAAATAAAGATACGTTGGCTTGGAGTGGTGTGGGAGACATAAGGATCTGGCCCATTTAACCATTAAGAAACTTTTCAGGGAAAAATAAATTGCTGTTCTTCTACAAAGTTGATTATGTTGCCAGAGCAGCAGTTGTCAAAATATGTTGTCTGCTGACCACTTTAACTGGTGTCCTTACAGGGCAAGGTGTAGGGGGTCCTTGGCAAAGTGTCTGGCTGGCAGACTTAGCTGCTAGTGCCTGGCAGCAGCATACCAGGGAATGCTGGGTGGCTCCTGCTGATATCTGGGAGCTGCTGCTGTTAATTCCCCGCAGTATTTCAAAGTGACATTATGCTAAACTTCAGACCTTCACTGTAAAGCACCCACTATTTTTCAGGAAAGGGTAGAAAGAGCATGCATCAGTGGTAGGGCCTGCCAGGGACTGGCACCTCAGCAGCTAACATAGAATCATAGGATTGTAGATTTGGAATGGATCCTGAAGGCCATCTAGTCCAAGCCCCTGCAGTGCAGGAATCTCAACTAGATCATACATGACAGATGGACATCCAACTTTTGCTTAAACACATCAAAAGAAATACAGCCCACCACTTCTTGTGGAAGTCTGTTCTAGTGTCTTAACAGCTCTTACTGCCAGAAAGTTCTTCCTGATGTTTAGTTGGGATCTCCTCTTTCATAACTTGAAGCTACTGGTTAAGGTCTTACCCTCCAGAGCAGAAGAAAACAAGCTGGCTCCATCCTCCATGCAGGAGTCCTTGAGATATTATAAGATGGCTATCATGTCTCCTCTTGGTCTCCTCTTTACCAGGCTAAATACATGCAGTCCTCTCAATCATTCCTCATAATGTTTAGTTTCCTGACCCTTGATCATCTTGGTTGCCCTCCTCTGCACACATTCCCTCTTGTCAATATCCTCCTTAAATTGTGGTGCTCGAGACTGGACACAGGACTCCATATGTGATCTGGACACTATACTTTTTTTTAATGCAGCCTTCTTTTTAGCTGCTACATCTTTTGACTCATTAAGCATGTGGTCTACCCTATATCGTTTTCACATGTACTACTGGCAATCCAGGTGGTTCTCATATTTCTGTAGCTGGTTCTTCCTGCCTAAGTGTAGAACCTGAAATTTCCTCCATTGAAATTCATTCTCTCTCTCTCTCTCTCTCTCTCTCTCGTTTTTTAAGTTTTTAGCCATTATTCCAATATGTTGAGGTCATCTGGAATCTCAATTCTATCTTCCACCGCATAGGCTACCTCTCCCAGTTTAGTGTCATTTGCACATTTGATGAGCATTCCCTCAATCTCTTCATCCAAGTCTTTTATAAAGATGTCGAACAACGGACCCAGAACAGAACCCCACGGCACCCCTCTTGTCACTTTTTCCCAGGATCACAAGGAACCGTTAGTGAGCACTCTTTGGGTTTGGTTAGTCAGCCAACTACAAATCTATCTAACTGTTATGTTGTCCAGTCCATATTTTACCATCTTTTCTTCAAAAATATCATGGGGGACTTTGTCAAAAGCCTTACTGAAATCCAGATACACTATGTCCACAGAATTCCCATGATCCACGAAGCTTGTAACTATCAAAAAAAGAAATGTGATTCATCTTCCAAAATACCCCTTGCAGACCTGGAAGGTTACTTCAGCTTCATGGAAACTATGCTATAATAACTAATGTGCTTTAGAGTTGAGGACGGTGACCTGAAAAGCAACTATGATGTAGGAATGTGGTAGCCAACATACAGGAGCCTTGTGTGATCTGGCCAGATTCTCAGCTGACTTGCAGAAGCATCACATGGATAGATCTAGGATCTAGGCAGGGTGGTGAGGATGGTAGGGTAGAAAAGAGACAGTAGTTAATGAGCCATTTGGCCCCAACAAGAGCTCCAGAGTTAGGCATTGTTAGGCTAGGGTGGAAATAGCAGTGCAGTTACTAGGCTCCCATTCTGAAGCCCTTTGCTGCACAGCTATCTAGGAAGGAGGCAAGATTTTTCTGGGCAGAGAATTTCTAACCAACTGTTTCAGCCATAGTGAATTTGTGAGAAAAGAGACACGATGTCAGTTCTTTTTTTCTGCCTCTTGATACCTAAATTCTACATACTTTCCTCCCCAGGACTAAGGTGCTTCTTTAGCAATGTTTTATTTGTAGTTCACCACCCCCACCACTTCCTTTTCATTCTGCAGGAGCTCAGTTAAACATTGCCATAATGGAAATACTATCTTTTCAAAAAGACTAAGTAGGTCTCTGGCCAGTTCAGTTTAACGTAATCAACAATTAATTCAAGCATATTGGGTTTTGTTTGGTTTTGTTTCATAAACATACAAAACAACTTTGATTTGTTGAAGCTGTTGACTTTCCAGCTAAAGGAGCAATTCATGAGCCCTTGTGTTTTTGACTTAGTATTTCACTGATCTGTTGAGGGTGCAGTAATGCCTCACCATAGTCCACCATTTCTAAAAATGGAAACACCACTAAATAAAGCATAGCTTTTAAGTTGGTCTGCTGAGGTTAAATATTTAAAAGAGAGCAGGTGCTATATATTTTTATTAGTGCTATTCTGTCATGCAAGAAAAGAGCAAGGAGATTGTGAGAGGAAGAACTTTTAGACATACAACTCCCCCACTTGCAGTGCCCTGGTTCTGTACCATGAGATGCAGCTGTATATGTTGATTGGCTGTAACCATGCAGAGGATTGGCCATCTCATGGAAACATTTTGATGAGGTCTATATCAGTGACCATCTAAGTGGCTGGCAAGCAACCAACAAGGACACAATAGTATTGTGATGCTATATACTCCCCAAAAGCCCCCCAAGAGGGGTCTTTATAAGAGATGGGGTGAAGGACCAAGCAAGCACCCAGGGAAACAGAGTTCCAAAGCCTAGATGTGGTGTTCAGAAAGACCTTATCCCACATATTCGCCAGCCTTACTTTAAAAGAAGAGAAGAGTCTATTGTATCAAGCTAATGGCCAATATAGTCTAGCATCATCTTCTCACAGTGGCCACCCGATGCCTATGGACCAACCCAGTCCTCAAGCAGGACCTGAGCACAAGATTACTTTCTCCTACCATGGTTTCCAGCAACTGATATTCAGAAGCATTACTACCTCCAACTGTGGAGAAAGATAATAGCCATCATAGCTAGTAGCCATTGATTGCCATGAATTTGTCAAATTATTTTCTAAAGCCGTATAGGTTGGTGGCCGTCACTGTGGGAGTGAGTTCCATACTTTATATGTAACTTGTGAAGAAGTACTTTATTTTATCTTTCACAAATCTCCCAACATTTAGCTTCATTGGATGTCCATAAGTTTGAATGTTACAAGTGATGGAGAAAAAGCTTTTCTCTGTCCTCTCTCTCCATGCTAGGCATTATTTTATAAACTTCTATCACTTGCCTCTCTTACTTGCCTTTTCTCCAGAAGGTCCCAAACTCTGCAGCCTTTCCTCATAGGGGAGTTGCTCCATTTCTTTGATTATTTTGGTTGCCCTTTTCTGAACTTTTTCCATCTCTGCATTATCATTTTTGAGCATATCAGACAACAGGGGCATGGATCCAGGACCTCAGCTGAAGATCTATCAGAGCATGTAGGCTCCTGTGGAAGGAGGCAGTCCTTAAGACGAATGTGGAATTTGAGGCCTTCTAGATTATGTTGGCTTGAAATGCCATCAGTCCCAGGCAGCATAGCCCAATGGTCAGGGATGATGGAAATTGTATCCCACCAACTGGAAGGCTATCAGTTCCCTACTCCTGTTAAAATAGCCTATTTCCAGGCTGCTTAGGGCTTTAAAGGTCAATATCTGCACTTCAAATTGGGCCCAGAAGTAAATGGGGAGCCAGTAGAGTTGACACCACACTAGGGTCATATGCTCCAATTCGGACTCTTGCTGCTGCTTGTATCTTTGGGGAACCTCTGCCTGTTCTTTAGCGCCAGGAAAACAGTAGGCAGACTGTTTCCAGTTGCTTTATGCAGGGAAATTGTGGTCTCCTAGACTTGGAGATCTCAGGGCTTTCCTCCTTTACATTCCAACTTCTGAATCAATTATAACTTCTTTTAGTATAATTTTTATTGATTTTTTTATTAAAAAAGCTACAAAGAAATACAGTAGCGTGCATACAGAAGTAACATTTCCATTAACACAAAGTTATACTATTATACAGAATTAGTTACAACTTCTGATGTTCTCCATGTCTGCTTCTCATTACAAGACTTGGATTGGGAATCGAAGACGAAAATATCGTCTAATGGGAATTGAAGTCCTCCCTCCTCTAGGTGGCCCTGCTCTTTTCCCCAATCAATCTGATTCCAGCAGTAGATCAATAACCATTCCAGAAGATGATGCTTCGACAGATGTTGGAGATGATAATGACAGGAATGATGAAGTTTCAATATGTTTATCAGAAGGAAGCTCACAAGGTATTCAAACTTGTCACTAGTATTATATTGTTATTTCTGTTCAATCTTAACCTAATAGTCTGAATGTTGCCTGAATGTTGCCTCCCTTTATTCCAAAGCTACTCCCAGGAAGTAACTAGCATTTGGATCCTAAATGCATTTACTTGGGGCTAAATCTAAATATGTTCAGGATTACAAAGTTTTCCTTTAGCCCTGGGAAATCCTCAAAAGATAAGGAAGCAGCCTTATAAAATGTCAGACCTTTGGCCCCCCACCTACCTCATTGGCTATGTTTACTGGCAGCAGCTCTCCAGAGTTTCAGATAGGGTCTTTCCCAGTCCCACCTGGAGATGCCCGGGATTGAACTTGGGACCTTTTGTACACAAAGCAAACCGGCATACCTTGTAGTAGTCAGTTGGGCAGTGAAGGCAGGGTGGTGTTGCGCACCTGACTTGCAGTTAGCAAGCACTGCTTCTACTTGCTGTATGGGGGATGGATGAGGCGTAGAGAGCCTGTTGTTCGGTGGGGATGATGGCAGAAGTGTTGGAGTGACTTCACTGCTTGCATGTGCTGCATTCAGCTCCCCTTGCCGTGCTCCTGCCTCAGTGATGCTTGCCATTCGGAAGCCAAGTGCAAAATGGCTCCTCGCCTTTGCTTATACCTCTGACTGCTACTGGGCATACCACTGAGCTATAACACTTTGCCAACTGAAAACACAGCTGAAAGTTAGAAGTGGAGAAAGCAGGATTTGCTAGAAGAAAGCATGTGCTCAGTTGAAATGAGGCTCCTATTGCATGTAGAAGTGCCATTGTACACATTTACAAAAACCACATGTCAAGGAGTGAGAGCTGGATCTTTGAGTCACAGTGAATGTGGTTTGTCCCTCAGGGTCAGAGAGGATTGTTCAGGCACCTCTCTGGATTGAATACATTGTTGTTGCCATGAGGATGTAGGATAAAGCTAGCTGCTTGGTAGCTTCTGTACATCCTCAGTAGTTTGTTCCAGATTTTTGAGGGTGTGATTAAGAATGGTAACTGCCAGTGCTTTTTTTCTGGGGTTACTCAAGGGTACACAGTACTGGAACCTTTTGTTTCTAAAAGAAAAGCACTGGTAACTGCAGCGTGGTTTGTATAGGTGGCTTTCCCCCATCCCACCTCAAGATATTAGTTCTACTCAAGGAAGAGGCATCAAAGTGCCTGCCACATGGGAAGATGTCTAGAAAATGTCTGCCTCTTCAAGCCCCATCCCTAGTGTGGAAACCAGTCCCAGTCAGGGTGGTGATCAGTATCAGTATTTTTGAACATCTCCCATTAATCAGTTGAGCAACAGGCAGGTCCAGCTGTGTAACAGGGTGGCTGGCCTTTCAGGAGGAAAGGGGTATGACAGTGACCCCTTAACAAAAAGCCAGTTCCTTGCCCAAGTGAAATGGCAACTGTAATTCAAACTTGACTACATAGCAGGTGGTAGAGCCACAACAGCATTGATTTTGATGCAGTGTTACAAAACGGAAGAACCAATAACTTATTTAGTTAGGAATGAACTTTAAGTTGCACATTTCACTAGCTTTAAAAGTTCAGCTAATTGCTCCTGGTGTTTCTGACTAGAGCAAACCAACAAAGACTTTGGCTTCTGAACTTCAAAAAAAAAAATAAAAAAAAATAGACACATTTGCAGATTTGTATGCCAGGCTTGATCTTACCATTTTGTTTGAACAACTTGCTGAGAAAGTGGCTGAAGAACCCGAGAACTGTTGGGAGCAAACTTGTGATGGGTTTGTCAGAATTTCAATTATAAAAAGAATAAGATAACATAGAATTGGTTGAAGATGACTGAAAGCCAAGTAAGTTAACAAAGTCTGCAGATCTTCTCTGCCTTGGGGCAAAGGAATCAACTCCTCCAACAGGACAGTAGAGAAATAGTCAGAACACACTGCAATTCAAGTGAAAAGCTGCCTTAATATTAATTGGGTCTGGCACTCTGACACTTATGAGATGGAACTGCCAGGGAGAGGCAGGAAGAAGATGATTGTAATCAATACCCCACACAGCTGCAGGATAAATACAGAATTTCTTAGGAGCAGAATAAAAAGAGGCTTGCTTATTATCCACACACACACAGCTCAAAACTTGTTCAATCAGAGGAGAACCGCTGGCCCATGGGCCAAATGTGGACCTCCAGGCCTTACTGTCAGGCCCTTGGAGCTCTCTCTAGGCCACAACCTTGCCATCCCTGCACAAAGCTCAAGTATTCTTACCTTGCCTTAACGTGTCCTTTAATATGCCTGAAATATGTGTATGTATAGAAATCTTTGTGTGACTGGAGTGTAGCCCACTGTAAATATGTCCATTACCCTGCCCCTTTTACCTCTGACCCCATCCATACCTGGCACACAGCCCTGGAAGGTTGTCCATGGCAGAATATAGCCCTTGAGTTGAAAAAGATTCCCCACCCCAAACTTAAAGAGACACCAATGGGACTCTAGGACATACAATGGATCTGCCATTCAGTATTCACTGTTTTAGCTGTCTTGTGTACTTGAATTTTGGTGGAACTTGGCTACTGTTTTGGATTGAGTAATGTGCTTTGATGCAGATAATCCTTAAAAAGAAATTTGTTTACCATCCCATGGTGATGGCATAGTGATCCTTATAGCTGGACTATAGATTGTAAGATTATTACAGTTTCTAACAATGTTAGCTTCAGAATATGACCACTTAATAGACCAGAACCTCTATGTTAACTAAAGGTTATTTCTTCTGATTGTGTAAATTAATAGGCAGCAGAGGTTGTATTTGGAGAACGGATCATTACTATAAGCTTCGAGGTTGAATTCAGTGCTGGGAAAAAGTATGGTGTGTGTGAAATGGGCAGCATTTTTTTTTAGAAACACATATTTTGTTTCATTTCTGTAGAAGAACAAAGTGAAGTTCTTCAGAATGAAGACACTGGCCACGGAAGAGAAGACCAGGCTACTCTAACTGACACTAATGGGGTACGGATGTTTCCTAACACTTAATAGTTTGATTAAATCCAGTTACTCGGATGGGCTGATGTATGAAGGGCCACAGTTTTTTCCATTGTTTTTCTGTTAGGTTCTATATTCAAGGCTCTTTTATGCAAATGCAGAAACTATGATGTGCACAGAGTCACACATCCTGAAAACCTCTCAATTGGTTAAAAACAACCAAAAAGATGCAGGGGCATCTGATGTTCTAATCGTATGTCAGTACCTTTTTGATTTCAAAATGAAAAGCACCATTTGCCTTTTCAGACAATACAAATCATAGACGATGAAGAAGATGGTATGATAAGTGAAATAGAACAATTGAATTGTCTTCTGGAATTCAAAGTAAGTAACTCCTGTAGAAAACAGCTAACATTTGTATACAAATAGAAAGGTGATTAATCAGCTTAAACCCAAAGTGCAGGCTTTGTTCGAGGAATCGAAATAGGAGCCTGAAAGGACAGAATTAGTTTGGAAGAAATTCAAAAGAAGCAAAGAAAGACACAAGACATCAAATGTTCACTTAAAAAATCAAACTCTTAAATGATAACAGGTTTTTTTTTTACAAAATATTGAAAGCCCAACATTCTTCAGTTGAAGGCAGTTTTCTTTGGGGTAATTGAAAAAACTAACATAGGAATTGATGAGCCAACTAAATTACAGTTGATTATAAACTTATATAAAGTTTAAAATAAGTTTATAATATATCATAAACTTAGGCACTATATGGAACAACCTATTTTTAATGTATCCAATGTCAGAGTAGACCCATTGGAATTAATGGACATGACTCTGAGTAGGACACAACCCATTATACATGGGGCATTCTGCAAAATGAAAACTGATCTATTTTCATTTTTGCCTTAACACTGGTGAGCTGGTAACGGAAGGGAGAGAGATAAGGAATTTATTTCAGTCACACAATACAACAATTCTGCTGTTCCGTTATTGCCAAACTGTGTGACCCATTAACCTTTTGAGGCAACCCATTTCTGCTTAATGTCTCTATCCTAAAACGTACAGTGTGCAGGAACTTGAGGGTGGGTGAGTGATGAGGAAGGGGAATATTGCCAACTAAAACAGTTCAATGTCATGAGGATGCATTGAAGTTTGTGGGGATATTATTGCATGCTCGCAGGCAGATGGCGCAAGACCCAATGTTTAGGAAGAAGCTGCTGATTGCTTTGAAGACAGACGGCTGTTCCAATTTCAGCAGCTTGCAGATTACAGCTGAACATTTGCTTTTGATGCTATATGAGCAAAAGCAGTTGGAAACCGTGACAACTGTTTTTTGCCAAAATTGCGAAAGGTTACATGTGTACATAAGAATTGGGGGTGGCTTACTTTCAATTCAGACGCCCTCAAACAAATTTCAGTTGGTGTTAGAATAAAATATGTATTTTTTACTAGAACTTTACCTACACTGAAATGAGTAATGTCTTTAAAGCACACACGTGTGCATAATTGATGTCCATGCATTAATTTCTGGACTCTGCCTTCAGGATAAGAGCAGTTCTGAATGAATGTGTGTGTATGTGGAAATGACCTTTTCTTAATGTCACTTGTCACAATACTGAATGTCTTGTTGTGACAGTATGTCCTACAAAACCCTGTTTGTTGATTTTTTGAATTATGTTTTGACATGTGGGCTTCTTGGTCACATAGTCCATTTGCATAAATATGCATGTTTGCTTTCATAGGTTTCCAACAAGCTTTTTTAGCCAGTAAGAAATTGGATAAGCTTTTTAACACCCCCCAAGCTTTCTGTGGACCCCAAAGACAGCTGTTTTGAAAGCCACTTTGTACTGCCTGTTTTCCTCAGTTAAGGGGTCAGTTGTCCAGTGGTGGTTTATCGCTGCCGCCAGCCCATCCTTCTCTTTTTTAAACAAAAACAAAAAACAAAATATATTTAACTTGTGAAGCTATTGCTGTTTGCTTTACTGCTAAATGAAAACTAGCAAACATCTATGCTAACTGGAGTCTGTTTGATCTCCAGCAGCTTCGTAAACTAGGGTAAGGAAAACAATTTCCCTTTCCCCCAATTTTTTTGTGGTTATACCATTTCAAGAACTCTGGAGTAGGGTTTTCTGGTTTTGTAAAATAAAAAAATAAATAAAAATCAGCATAAACTCTGTAGGGGTTAAAACTGCAACACTGATTCATTATTTGCTGTTTTTGTTTTTAAAATGTGCTAATACTATTGGGGTACACTGGACCCTCTCCCATTATTTAGGATGAGCTCAGTATTTCATTAGGGCATTTTTTTGCTTTCTGATTTGTCTTTGTGGCCCCCCCCCCGGGCTTCCTCATAGCCCAGAGAGAAATTTCAGTTAGCGTACCAGGTCTAATGAGCCCTATTAGCTTTTTAAAATTCAATGCCAATATTTTAAAGTTTCTAATCTGGAGTTACTTTGAAATTGATGATTAACTTTATTTCCAGTTAGGACTTCAAAAAGAATTCATTGGAACCCCTACAGCAGATAATGTTTTTTTTAAAAAAGTTGTTTGACAGTTTTGATTCTTGAAATAAGTATAAATAAATATTTTATTACAGTAAAATAACATTTATTGTAATAAAAGCTTTGGACTGCAGCATCCCTCAAGCCTCCAAAGGTGCCTTACAGTGCTTAGGGGTAATTGGCAAACCTCTAATAGTTAAAGGCCACGAGCTGAAATAGCTCTTTCAATTCAGAGCAATATGTTTCCAGTGGTTTCCCCACTGGAATGAACTCAGCATATCAAGTAAAACTTAAGCATTTTTCAGAATTTGTTTTGCCCATTCCTGTTGTCTGCCCTGCAAGGCAACTACCGAATGGGATCTGGTGTTGCAGCCTTGCATTTCTGTGATGTTAGAAGTCATACTATGGTTACGCTGTGCATGATTCAGATGTGCCCTGGAATAGGTGTTTTTATTTGTTGTTGAAAAGGCTGCAGTAATGGCTACAATGAAGGACTTAAGACATTTCTATCCGTTTCATTTAGGACTGTGAACCACCACCAACTGTTTTTTGCACAAGTTCAGTGTTGCTGCATTGTGTGCTAGTAGTTAATCAGAAATGAAAGTGCTAAGTTCATAAGGGATAGCTTAGTTGGTAGAGCATGAGCCTCTTCATCTCAGGGTTTGGGGGTTCGAGCCCCACATTGGGCAAAAGATTCCTGCATTGCAGGGGGTTAGACTATAGATGACCCTTGTGGTCCTTTCTGACGCTACAGTTCTGTGGTTCTGAAGTCCTCAACCCAGAGCAAACCACAGTATGCCAATTAAGGATGCTGACTTACTTGGCACCACTAGTTAAAAGGTGGCTGAGGTAACAGCCGTTTGCAGGCATCTGTAGGACTGGGCTATAAGGGTAGTTCACACCATCCTTTATTTGAACTTGAAAAAGTCATTGCCTTTCAAACATAAGGATGACAAGCATCAGGCTTGTAGCCTTCAGAATATTCTTAACACAATGCAAAATTAATACATGAAATCCACCGCTACATTGATGGCCACTCATGTAGGTGGCTTTAAAAGGAGAGTAGGCAAATTCATAGGTCTGTCATCAGGTATTTGTTCTGATGTCTTTAAAAAAGTTTTATTAAATTTTTAACCAATCTACCAAATTACAGTCTTTCTTCACTGAATATCGTATGGTATTTAAATACTCCAGCCATAGCAAAGAGTGGGAAGCTGGAGGGATGTGGGAAGATCCCTCCCTGTCGATATATCGTCTGATGTCTGTATGGAACTCCCATATTCATGAGATGTCTGCCACTGAATCAGAATGCTGTACAGAAACCTGTCCTCCAGCTTGACGAAAGTTTTCATCCCCTGTGAAAGGGACTCCTATTTTTCTGCCTCTTGGGGAATTTAGGATTTCTTTATAATTTCAATATCTACAGCATTGAACTTACTTTATTGGTCGTGGATAGTATATGTGTATTTTTCCCTTTCATTAAATATTTCTGCAGCCTCTCCAGTTGCCTGAAAAAGCCCTGTGGGAGAAGTTAACCTCATGACATATTTACATTGCAGCATAGGACGCCAAGAAGGCATCCACTGCTTTCATTTTTAAGGGAAGTTCTTCCTTTTGGTATTAAAAACTAACTCCACACTGATTTATTTAAAAAGTAAAAAGACTTCATTTAAAAACAGAACAGTGAACAGCTGTCAGGTAGACAGTAGGCAGCCTCCCCAGATTCATGTACTTACAGGAAAGCAAACTGAGAACATTATGGGACTTTCATAAAATGCAGTCACCCAGGAAGGTTGAAGAATGCATACAGATCATCAAAGAGATGACCCATAGATGGGAAGAAGGGAACTCAGACCACCACTTGGACACCATAAAAGTAAAGTAAAGACAACAAAAACCCTCCACCTGACACATAAAAAAAATTCACTGACATTTTCTTTCCCCTTTAATAATATTCAAATGCAATTTCATCCATCATTAGTTGATAGAGAATTGTCAAAAAAGTGCAGGAGACATTTTTTGGCATAATACCACTGAATGCCATTTGCTTGGTGTGTGTGTGTGTGTGTGTGTTTGTTTCAGGTCCTGATTATGGGCATCTTACTAGCCACTGTGGAAAACTTTGGTGAGAATGTTCTTAAGGGTATTAATCAGATGTCCTGCAACTACTTGGCTGTATGTGTAAACAAGACAAATGTATGCTCTTGACATACTTTACTTGTCCAGATTTGATCTGTTCTTTGTTTTAAAATGTTCTCTTTTTATGTTTCCCCCCTGTTGTTGTATTAAATGAGGAACGTAACAATCAATCCTTTCATAGCCCAGTGCTGAACTTCCCCCTGTCACACGACTGCTCTGCCCTCAAAATATATTTGCTCAGAAAGTACACTGTGGAGTTCTAATTTGCAAGTCATCCTCACAAATGAGGAAAGGGGAAATCATTCATGCTTGCTGAAATGTTTTTCTGCGTGCTGTCTTTCTTCACACCTTTTATTTAGGAAAGCTCACATCTTTTAAAGGGGGGAGGGGAGAGCCCTGATCAAGCCCTCTTAAGAGGAATCGCAGGGGATACCTGTGCAATATTTCTAGTGTTGTACTCACAGCAGTGTTTGTTGAATGAGCCTTGTGGAATGTCCTCCTTGTATCACTCCCCTGTGATAAGAGAACCAGAGGTGGGGAGGTGGTGGAAGCACTGCAGGCTAATCTGTTTGCAGGCTAATGAAGAGGGGAAGTGGAAATTTGCAGGGAGCAAAAAGGGCCATCAACTTAGCTTCTCCTCACTCCTCTGGACTTGCTGGAGCTCCCATCACCATTCCCTAGTGTGAGGCCATTCACACTTCTAGTTGTAAAAGTTTCAGTTATCATGGAGTGCAGGGCAGTGTCTGACCTGGTGGTGACTTTATCCCCACAGTCCATTCTTGTTTGTTCTTGCTGGCTTGAGGCTCTGAACGCTGCTGTCCCTCAATCACTAGTCTTCTCCTTGAGTGGGCTGTATCTGCTCCTTGCCAGTCTTGCTGCTCTTGCCTCTCCTCCAGGGCCTGATTGGTGGCCATCTATCCATAGAGACAGAATGGGCTGCTTCTCTGTCTTTGCTTATGCATTCAGAGAGGGCAGGTGGACAAGCAGCAATCACAAGAAGGAGCAGCAAAGCCAGAAAGCTCCACCAATTGGCAGTGGTGCCTTGGTAGGTGCCCAGTGATGCGGGCCCTTGCTCCAAATTAGGGCTCTGCAATAAACAACTGGGGCTGTAGTTTGACTTGGAGCCTTGGTTGAAGCAGGCTGGAAGTACAGCTCTGTTCACTAGGCAGAAGATACTTGGTACCAATCCCGAGGGATCTTTCTCCTCTCCACTCATGGGTGGTAACCTGTTCCCAACTTACCTGAACAGGGTTTTGGAACCTGAACACAAGCAGACCTGATTAGACTAGACACTTTGGTAGCCTCAGGTAGAGAATATCTGTTAAGCATTCTCTCTCTAGATTTTGCCCATTGTTGATACTGTTCCACGCATACTTTCAAATTTTCAAGTAGAACTTCATTCAGTTATTACCATGTATTTGCAACATAATCTCTTTTTTTTAAAAGCTAGGGGTTTTATTCATATCAGTCTGACTTGGAACTGAATAGCCTGAGTTAGTCCTTTAATTTCAGTGAGTCTGCTCTGCATATGATTAACAAAGGGAACAATTTGGTTCATTGTACTCCGAAGATGATCTTTGGAGTTGTGCATATATATGTAATTTTCCCCCTCTCCGCTTAGACCCAGGAAGTAAGGTTCGTTGAAGAAGACCTGGAGCATGAAAAAAAGAAATATGTTGAGCTACAGGCTTTCACTCGGCGTTTGATACTTGCTGTCAAAATGGATGATAAAGAACAGCAGCAGGTAAGACGAAAGTGTAAACAGCTGAGAAGATCTTATTTTATAGAAGTGTGCAGCGACCACAAATTTTGCCTTGTATCTCTAGCGCTTGGAAGCAGTCCAGTCTGCTTCAGAACCACTCTGTGCCATTCTGATTTAATTTTTTGTTTGAGTCTGAATCTGATCCGTAAATATGAAGCTCATTTTTGTTCCCATTGACTAATTGAGAACCTACAAACCTCTATACTGTTTTTTTCCTTTTCATAAAGATGGATGAAATTTGCAGACAAGAGAGCACACCCAGAGTGAATTATGCTTGCAAAATTTCAGGCAGATCCATCCCAGGCTTTTTATGCAAGGAATTGTTGAACTCACTTTCTTTTTTCTTTCCTGCCAGAATTGGGTACAAGTTTCAGGCATGATCACCCCTGCTGAGTAAATGAAGCCTGCCAAATATCAGAAAGATAGGTGCAGTGGTTCTCCCACATGGGCAAACTTTATTGGTTGGGGTAGGAAATAGAAATTGTTATAAAAAGCTATAAATGTAACTCTCTTTCTCACTGCTCCTCCCTAGTTGAATACTCTCAGGGAAGAAAAGAGAGAGAGAGCAATAATTTTTAATTGTTTGTTATGAAAAATATTTTATAGTCAGGCAGGCCTAAACCTAAGCATTCTGATAAGGGTTCATTTCAAAGGAACTATGGTACCTATGCAGTCTGCTCCTCTGTACAGTCATACCTTGGTTTTAGAAAAGCTTAGTTCTCGAACATTTTTGCTTCCGGATGCCGCAAACCTGGAAGTGACTGTTCCGGTTTGCCAACTATTTTAGGAAGCCAAACATCCGACAGGGCTTCCACAGCCAATCAGAATCTCCTGCAGCCAATCAGAAGCCATGTTTTTGTTTCCTAATGTTTTGGAAGTCGAACGGACTGTTCAACTTCCAAGGTACGACTGTATACGGTTATTTAGAAATAAGCTCCACCAACAGAACTAAATTATTTTCAAATAAGCATGCCATGAGCGTGTTTAAGGCAAGGCTCTTTGTCGCCTTTGCTGCAAACAGGACTTGCCAGAACTCACCAGAACTCAGTTCCAGCACCTCTCTGGTGAGAGCCATTGCCATTCTAAGAGAACAAGGGAGCTGTTTGGCACCTCATTTCTAGAAAAATAGAAATAGAAAAATGGCTGCAGGAGATTAGTACAGCTACCCCTCTGAAAACATTTTTAGATAGTAAAGCCTGCATGATCTAATTGAATTATATTTCTAACACAATTAAAGTACCTAATTGTTAAGAGGCTTATTTAATAAATTTATACCACAGTATTTGGGCAGCTTACATTAGCCATTGAAAACAACTAATGAGGCCCTGCAAGAAAACTTAGCAGTGTGCAGTTCTCTTGTTTAGGGTTTCATCCAGCAGTTGCTCTGTAGAATGGTAGCACTATGAAGCAGTTGCTGAGATCTCCTTTCTCTCTGCCAAGGAGTGTTGCTTTCCTTCTTTCCCCTCCAAGGAGTTGGGTCAAATACGAACTATGGTGCAGGAAAGTAACCAGGACTGCTACTCCACCAGAAGCTGTTGCAGCTTCTCATTTATTTATATTTTGTATTCTAATTCAGGCACTTCTGGCAGACTTGCCTCCAGATTTAGAAGAGATGGATTTCAATCATTCATTTCCGGAACCTGATGATACCTCGTTCAGCTTGTCGTCTTCATCGGAGAAAAACACCTCGGACAGTTTGTGATCTTTGATGCAATGCAATGTACTTGCCTAATCTGTATGTTTTGAACAAATTGCATTTTGTTGGCCAGTACCCTTGAATATGAAGGTGGGGGGTAGGGGTGGAGGTGGGGAGACTAGCAGCCTTGTTAACTGGGGGAGGTAGGTGGTAGCCACAAATTCAGAATTTTGTTTTTGTTTTTTTATTTTGGTGAATGTGAAAGCTACTTGAGAAAAATACACTATGGTTCTAGCATCTATTCCTTGGTTATTGTACCTTTTTATTCATTACTGACCTGCTTCGGTAACAAAGCCCTCCTCTGAGCAGGGCAATAAGTAAAATGGAGAAAAAGTTGTGAATTATGCTAACAGTTCAACCATACTTTCCTAATCTAGCCCACTAGTTCTGTTCAATGCCTTCGCTCCCTTGCCCCTCCTCAGGTAGGTTAGCAGGTCACTGGAAATTAAGGCCTTCAGGAGATCAGTGAATAAAAGTTGGGCCCTCACTAAAATGATGATGGTGATTCCAAACAAGGGATCAAGCTAAAGAAGCTTGCAATTGTACCTAACAGCAAATCATTGCTTCTTCTCTCTTCTCCACCTTTCTCTAATGCCTGAAAAATTATTGGAAGAGTAAAGCTAGCTATCTTAATTGATTTCAGTAAATTATATTGTACATAGTGGCAGATGGAAATCCTGAACAAAAATAGTTGGCTTTTTTTTTAAAGGAATACCCAAATGCTAGGAAAAGCAACAATTTCCAGTAGCCCCAAGACTCTCTTCCATTGTACATAGTGAGAGTGTGTGGCAATAACACTGGAGAAGTCACAAAGGAACAGCATGTACACAGATCCAAAATTTGCATTTGACTTCTGTAGCTTATTTATATGACCAAGCCTCAGCTGAAGGCTGCCCAGAAGATGCTTTTGTAGTTCACAGGGGAGCCTTCTCCTTGGCTGAGACTGAGAATCAACAGACAGAGCTTGGGAACCTGAGGACTGAGAGAACTGTTGATAAATGATGTTCCCAATGGAAGTACTCCCTGGCATTGCTATTTGGAACAGCTGCTCAATTCAAATATGAATTAGCCTAGATTCCCCCCCCCCCATACCAACAACAACAACAACATTCACTTGTGAATTGGCTGTGGCAAACAGACCAGTAACTTAAAAACACTTTTAATATGTTCCTGACTTGGAAGTCATTTATTTCAATTTGTTAGGCAAATATGAGCGCATGCAGAACTGAGCTTGGTGACAAATGCATTTTAGTCACCCGTATCTGTTGCGTGGGTCGAAATCTTGATGTGCATCAAGTGTTCAAAATAATGAGTTTTGAGATATCCAACACACACACACGTCACTATTTTCCCCAGCTCTTAGGACTGAGTCTGTTTAACCACTTCAATAATTTTTATCTACAGTTGCATATGTTAGATCTTTAATTGGATGTTGAAAGTGTTAGATACTCCCCCCCCCCATTGCCAAGAAAGATGTATGGTTTGCTCTTTGGGATGCTATTTCTCTTTTAAAAAGACGCGTTTTATTATTTCTCTGATTCAGTAACAAAACTTGGTGTGAAACAGCTGTTATCCTACTCCCAAAGTAACCTTGCACATCATTGCTAGCCTCCTTCACTCTGTCCATCACAGCCTCAACGTGCAGCTCTCCTCCCACCCACCCTCCCTCCCTTTCAACTGCTTTGGTCCTTGCTTGAAATGGTAAAGGGAAACAGCTTCAATAGAAAAACAACTTCCCCTTATCTCAAGAAGATAATTTTAGTGGCAAAGAGAGAAGAGGTGTTACAACTTGACTTTTTATCCAAGGGCAATTGCTCTGTGTCCGAAGGTGGGGAGGCAAATGACTAATTGCCTCTCTGTATGATAGTTCAAATCGACTTAGCTATGATCACAGATGTTTTTACTGCGCACTAAAAATACTGTATTTTTCGCTCTATAGGACGCACCAGACCACAAGACGCACCTAGTTTTTGGAGGAGGAAAACAAGAAAAAAAATATTCTGAATCTCAGAAGCCAGAAGATCAAGAGGGATCGCTGTGCAGTGAAAGCAGCAATCCCTCTTGCTGTTCTGGCTTCTGGGATAGCTGTGCAGCCTGCATTCACTCCATAAGACGCACACACATTTCCCCTTACTTTTTAGGAGGGAAAAAGTGAGTCTTATAGAGCAAAAAATACGGTATATAGGATACTGTTCTGCACCCAAGAATTCAAAATTCCGTGCCAAAAAAGGATGTATTCCTTGGACCTGTACGGAATATCCTGATTTCTCTTATTTGACACAGTTCTGCTATTTTTGCTATTTTTCTGTATCACTCTGATTTGCTTCATTCTGAGGAGGGGCAGGGAAGTATTCAGGACATTGAAGCCCTTACCCCCACTTCCCCATGCCCATTGGAAACCTCATTCAGCCATCCCTCTGGGTTCTGTGATTTGAGGAGGCATTACCCACAGAGTGTTTTTAGCTCAGCTTTGTTTGCAGCAATAAGGGCTAGAAACCTGCTGCTTAAAAATGAAAGTTGAGATTCTCAGGAAGCTTTTAAATCTCTTCCCAAGGCCCCCCCCCCCCTTGCACTCTCCTGTAATCATGTCACAGGCATGACTTCTGCTGTGAGGAGTAAAATCCACCAGAAAATTACTTTCAATTAAAAAAGAAATGAAGAGAGTGGGAATGAGGGAAGAGGCAGAAGTGTAGTGGGTAGCAATGTGGAAGAGGGAGGCAGTTAGAGAAAGGAGGATGTTTGGACAATAATGGGGAAAAGGAAATGGGAGAAGCAGTACAGCAGGCACATATTGCCGAACCCTGCAGTTATTTTGTGTCATGCAAGTCAAAGTCCTTTCAGAGAGCACAGGTTTTGATTGTGTGCCATTAGATAGTGTGGAAAGGATCTATACAAGACCTAATGGACCTGCACAGTACCTTGATGCTGGAAGCCTTTTTCTTCCACTTACTTCAGTTTAGCACAAATGCACTGCTTACTATAGCTATTGAGTTGTATCTGACTATGTCATACTTGGAACGGAGCCATTGCCATTAATGGCCCTCAAAAGCCATTTGTTTCAATGGGTCTGCTCCTGAGTATGGATAACATTGGTTTACAACCTGTTGAGTGTTGGCAATTAATTGCTTTTTTCTGCCCTAGCTTTCTAATGGTCATCGTAGAATGCAAGTGAATGGGTGTGAGTAGAAAGGCAAAGCATATCTGAAGAACCCATAATTTGCTAATCTTTCAATGAAAAATTTAGTTTTCTGTACTTTTGACTACCTCCCACTTAGGTGCCCAGGTTTCCCCAAGCGGACTCACATTTTACTTGGCTAGAAGTAAAATGTGAGAACTTGAATACTGCTTAGGCACGTCCCTTGTGATTGTCCTGGAAAGTCCTGCATCAATTTTTATTGTTTTATCAATCATTTATTGATGCACTTCCCTTGTGCTAGGGAACTCTCTTCCTTCCCTCAAGAACCCTTGACAGTAAGGCATTTGTTCCAGTTTTACACGCACAACACAGCCAGTGTGTTTAAGGGCTTGGGTGGGATGTGAATATAACTCTGCAAGACTTTAATTTTAACATCTTGGGGGCCTTGTTTGCATATTCTTGTGCACTTCTTGATGTCATGGAATCTTAGAGTTGGAAGGTACCCAAGGGTCATCGGGTCCAACCCCCTGCAATGCAGGAATTTCAGCAGCTGAAATGTATGACCTGACTTAGCCCAAAAATGTATTTTATATGGATGTGACTGAGCCGCAATAGCTGTTTGATAAGAGTCTTGCAATCTTCAAGTGATGCAAATATGCATTTTTATTTATTTCTATTTATTTTATTTATTTAACTGTCTGTGCCAGCCTTCTACACTCAGGTTAGTTTGCAGCGGATCATAAGCCTGTTCGAATTTGTTAGCCTGTATATTCAGTAGAGCAGGCATTATGGGGAGAGCCTGTGGCCCTCTAGATGCTGCTAGACTCCAGCTCTCATCCACCCCACCTTGCCGCTTCCAATGGTCCAGGGGCAGGATGGGAGTTGTAGTCCAGCTAACTCTTGGAGGGTTGTACGTTCCCTGCACCACGCCCATCAGGTTCTATTTGGGACTTGTCTTTTTACTCGAACCTTTAACATGAACCCAGGTGATCAGACACAAGGGAAGTCAGGACTCCCTTTTAACAATTCTATAAAATGGAATTTTGGTGGAATCGGCTTCTGTAGGGGATAAGGGCACTTGCAGCTGCTGTAATTTTCTTTTCTGTACAGCTGCAGGAGTGGCTGGCACACTCTCTCAATCCCTCTCTCAATCTCTCTCTTTAAAAAACCCAGAATGTTAACATTCTGGCTGTGCCACCTGCATCCTATTTCGATCTGAGTGTGGCCCACTTTTTAGATCCTTGCATTATGTGAAGACTAATCCACAAAGAAATGCTATTCTGTACCCACTTAACCTGGGAGTAAGTTGGGGAACTAACTTCTGTGTACGGTACCTTTTCTACCTTGGTGATGTCCCCCATGTGCAAGAACCCAATGACTTTACCACACGAACCAACGTATTTCATCCAGATGGTATTTATATGAGGGTTGAGTTGCGTAACTATTACAACTACTGGAATAGTCTTTGATATTTGGCATTGTATTATTTGCTTTCACAGAGAAGGTATTAATGTTTGATTTTCATTGGAGAACCATTGGGAAAATCTTCCCCTGCTCATGAATTAATGTTAACTATGGATGGATGGGGTATAAATTTAAATCCTGATTTATTCGGATGACTATAGCAAGAATAGCTTGGACACATCAGCACATGCTAGTTTAATGCCTCCTAGCTGAACCTGGAATGTGGAACAGTTTAATGCATTAAAACAACAACAACAACCCAGTACTTAAGCAAACCACATGCCATTTTTTACATGCTACCTCTGCAAGATGACATCGCTTAGAGGCCATGCCAGACTATAATGTGACATTCCCCACCCTGTGGCAATAAGTGACTTGCAGCCAATGGTCACTTCCTTACACACACCAGCCTTTTTTTTGAACATTGCCTATATCTGGGGTGGCTGACCTGAGACTCCCAACTCCCTCCATCCTCAGTTCAAGGATTAGGGGTGATGGGAGGTGGAATCCAGCAACATTTGGAGGGCCACAGGTTGGCCAACTGGCCAGATAACTGCTGTTACAGATTTGAACTATTTTTTCTTCTGCTAATATGGTTAGCACTATGACGGTAATTGATGGCTGATTTGATAGGCAGGTGTGTGTGTGTGTGTGTTTTAACCACCGTGAAATATTACTGTATTGTTAAGGCAAAGCACTGCTGGGAATGTTTCCATTGAGGTGAACAGAATTGTACAAGCTCCCCACAGCATTGTGCCTCAAAGCTGCAACAGATATGCTAAATAAGCTGGTAGCTGCAGGTATTTCTCAAACCTCCATGTTTCTCTTGGAGTAGCTGTTCCAGTGTTTGTTGCAGGTGGCTGGAGTTAATTCCACACTATCGATGAGACCGAACTCTACCTTTTGTAATTATCCAGCTCTTCCTGCTACTTTCCCCATAGAAATCTCTTAGCTGGAGATGCCAATTGGTTTGGAAACAGGTAAAAAGCAACTTCTTCCTCCCTAGTCGCCTCCCTTGCCATGTAGAGGAGTTTTCTTCAGTTGAAGAGTCTTTCCTCTTGTTAAATGCTCCCTTTTTCTAGCCTGTACAATAGGCTCCGCCTACCTCTTGGGCCCAAACTAGCCCACCCTCAGCACTGGCTGTGCCTCACCCAACATTCCTGTAGCTTTTTTAAAAAAAAAAGCCAAGAGGGCACAGAATAGTTATAATCCAGTGTAGTTCTACCAAAACTCACTGACGCTTTATGAAGAACACAGAAAGCCTCTGCCCACCCATGTCAATGTGTAGGTTGGAGCTTAATTTGTTGTCAAAGGTAGCATATGTGATATAAAAGTGACTAGTTAAAAAAGAAAAAAAAGGGGGGGTTGCAATTTTTTTAATGACTCTCATCCATTTTTCCTCTGCATAAAATTCATAGGTATTCATAGAGCAGCCTTCTAAAATAGTGCATTTAGTTCTCTTCCCCATCTAGAACATTTGGAGGAGTTAGATCAGGTGTTTAAAAAGAACTGACCAGTTGAATGAATTAATGATATTTTCTAAGCAAGAGAGGGCGCATGATGTGCCCTCCATTTGCTGGACTGTATTATGGTTTTGGCCTTTTATCTGGCTGCGCTTGAAAATGAAGTGCTTGCGATCAACTATGATCCCAGTATGTCAGAGTCACCAAGACAATTGAGAAAAAGGTGGGTGTGCTTCGGGCTTGTTGAAATCAACGAGACATGCCACGGTGAGGTCCTTAAGACTTTGGTCTTAAGTTGATTTCATTGGGACTCGGACATTGCAAAGGTTGTCTTTTAACTATAGAAGAAAACATCGAACTAATGCCAAGGTTTGAGGTTGGTTTTAAAGGAGCACAATTCAGATACACCTATATCCAACATCCTGTAACCCAATAACATGTGTTGGCAAATGTGTCACTGTGGCACTGGCAGAGAGTGCGTGGAATCTGCTGACTGAACATTTGCTTGGAAGAGACACATCTGTGCAGAAATGAAAGTCTGCTCTGCCCTCCTCACCGCTGCCCCCAGCATGGAAGGCAGGCAGCAAAGCTTTGAGTAACTAAAGGAGCGGGAGTCAGCAATTTGCTGTGCTTCCCAGCTGTTGAAAATGCTTTTTTTCCTGGGGTAAGGAGATCAAGGGAAAGAGATTCAAGTATTAGCTCCTTGCCCTTTCAGCTCCTTGTGTTGTTGTAATCTTGCCGCT